TGTATGTGTCTTTTGTCTTTATAATAATTGTTTCTTAGATCGGTATTATGTATGTGTCTATTGTCTTTATAATAGTTGTTTCTTAAATCGGTATTATGTATGTGTCTTTTGTCTTTATAATAGTTGTTTCTTAGATCGGTACTATGTATGTGTCTTTTGTCTTTATAATAGTTGTTTCTTAGATCGGTAATATGTATGTGTCTTTTGTCTTTATAACAGTTGTTTCTTAGATCGGTAATATGTATGTGTCTTTTGTCTTTATAATAGTTGTTTCTTAGATCGGTATTATGTATGTGTCTTTTGTCTTTATAATAATTGTTTCTTAGATCGGTACTATGTATGTGTCTTTTGTCTTTATAATAGCTGTTTCTTAGATCAGTACTATATATGTGTCTTTTGTCTTTATAATAATTGTTTCTTAGATCGGTACTATGTATGTGTCTTTTGTCTTTATAATAGCTGTTTCTTAGATCGGTACTATGTATGTGTCTTTTGTCTTTATAATAGTTGTTTCTTAGATCGGTACTATGTATGTGTCTTTTGTCTTTATAATCGTTGTTTCTTAGATCGGTACTATATATGTGTCTTTTGTCTTTATAATAGTTGTTTCTTAGATCGGTACTATGTATGTGTCTTTTGTCTTTATAATAGTTGTTTCTTAGATCGGTACTATGTATGTGTCTTTTGTCTTTATAATAGTTGTTTCTTAGATCGGTACTATGTATGTGTCTTTTGTCTATATAATAGTTGTTTCTTAGATCGGTACTATGTATGTGTCATTTGTCTTTATAATAGTTGTTTCTTAGATCGGTACTGTGTACGTGTCTTTTGTCTTTATAATAGTTGTTTCTTAGATCGGTACTATATGTATGTGTCTTTTGTCTTTATAATAGTTGTTTCTTAGATCTGTACTATGTATGTGTCTTTTGTCTTTATAATAATTGTTTCATAGATCGGTACTATGTATGTGTCTTTTGTCTTTATAATAGTTGTTTCTTAGATCGGTACTGTGTACGTGTCTTTTGTCTTTATAATAGTTGTTTCTTAGATCGGTACTATATGTATGTGTCTTTTGTCTTTATAATAGTTGTTTCTTAGATCTGTACTATGTATGTGTCTCTTGTCTTTATAATAATTGTTTCATAGATCGGTACTATGTATGTGTCTTTTGTCTTTATAATAGTTGTTTTTGTGTTTCGTCCCGATCTGATGCGTCAAGACATTTCCAAGTGAGTTTGTACTTATGGTCTATTGTTACACCAATGTCCCAGATTAGGAATAGGGTTGGAGGCTCACAAACATGTTTAACACATTAAGTATATGCCTGTCCCATGTCAGGAGCATGTTATTCAGTTGCTTTTTCTTTATATATGTTTTTCGTTTATATTTTTGTCATAAATCAGGCTGTTGGTGTTTTCGCTTTAATTGTTTTACATGTTGTCGTGTCGAGGCCAGTTATAGCTCACTATACGGTATGGGTTTTGCTCATTGTTGAGCGGTAATCGATAATTGCTTAAATCTACATTATTTGGAGTCATTTTGATATTTTTTTCATTGGCAATCATACCACAACTCCTCGTTCAATATTAATCGATTTACATACATGAATCTTGACATGTAATAAAATTGAGAATGGAAATGGGGAATGTGTCAAAGAGACAACAACCCGACCATAGAGCAGACAACAGCCGAAGGCCACCAATGGGTGTTCAATGCAGCGAGAAACTCCCGCACCCGGAGGCGTCCTTCAGCTGGCCCCTAAACAAATATGTTTACTAGTTCAGTGATAATGGACGTCATACTAAACTCCAAATTATACACAAGAAACTAAAATTAAAAATGATACAAGACTAACAAAGGCCAGAGGCTCCTGACTTGGGACAGGCGCAAAAATGCGGCGGGGTTAAACATGTTTTTTGAGATCTCAACCCTCCCCCTATACCTCTAGCCAATGTAGAAAAAACAAACGTACAACAGTACGCACAGTAAAACTCAATTTAAGAGAAGTCAGAGTCCGATGTCAGAATAGGAAACAAAAGAAAATAAACAAAATGACAATAATACATAAATAACAACAGACTACTAGCAGTTACTGACATGCCAGCTCCAGACCTCAATTTAACTGATTGAAAGATTATGTCTTCATCATATGAATATCAGGCACAATCCCTCCTGTTAGGGGTTTAGTATTATACCGTCATAAAATATATGAGAAGAACACAACCCGTGTCATGCCAACAACTGGTTTTAGAATAATTATGTTTAATTCCGATGCAAAGACCCTATAAGTGAATCAATATTAAAGCCAAAATATGCAATCTTTAATGACCTGACAACAGTATCGTAACTATACCCCTTCTTAACAAGTCTGTTTAAAGGTTTTGTTAGCTTTTGAGGTGAATACTGGCATTTTTGTGCTTTGTAAAGAATTTACCATAAAAGATTGGATGTGAAATACCCGAACGTATAAGATGTCTGCATGTTGAGTTATATTTACGAATGATGTCCTTATACCGATGATAAAATTTAGTAAATGTTTTGACTAGTTTATGATAACGAAAACCCTGGTGTAATAATTTTTCAGTAATATATAAATTTCTCTCGCTAAAATCTAATACGTTGTTACATACACGAGCGTACATTGTACACGTACTTTAAAAACGTAACACACATTTTAAGTTATTCTTAATTACGAAAGCATGATTTATCTTCAAATCATTACTATCCATGCTTACCATTATCCTTCTGTTTAAATGCAACACTAGTAACTGACGTACCTGAGGTAATTGACCTCGCATGAACTTTTTGGGGCGAGATTTGAAACCAATGCATGATTTTTTTAGGTTTTTTCCTAAAGATAAACCAAGCTTCTCTATGATCAAAATTAGTGTTTGTCAAAATGCTATATATCCAATGAAATTATTCCTGTAAATTGTGCGGTTCAAATTTCTTGAAATTTCTATATTTTTGTTAACAGGTCAAATTAAATAAAACGATCCAAATCTATTTTAGTCAAAGTGTTGGGTACCCCCTTAAAAGGACTAAAACAAGGATTTCAGTGCATACTACATGATTTAAACATTAAACGTGACGTAATCATTTCAACTTTCGAACTGCAAACGTTTTTTAGACGATGAAGTAATGAAGAAAATGTGACGTTATTTGACACCATGTGTGCGTTTGTTGAGCATAAGATCTGCGCACGGTCTGTACGTTGAGCAGAGGGATGAATATTCTAATGGAGATAATGTCCTTATGGCATTGCTTAGATAGATGTTTTAAATGATACAGTTTATATATTTCTTTAGGCAGGGTTGGATTATGTACATGATAATACAGATGGGTGTTTGACAAATGTTAAGCAGTTACAATGTCTTTTTTTTGTTGTTCAAAGATGCAAGGTTAGCTTATAAATAATTACGTTAACAATCAGCGTAAAGCAAAATAGTTTTTTTGGTTATGGAAATGATATGAATCAAACGTATTGAAAATTAAAATTAAAAAAAATAATGGAGTTTGCTGTGTTAAAGTCCGTCAGTAAACAAAGTTTTATCAGCATGTTACCTTTCTATTAAAACAATGACTTACATGATAGAAAAAAAAATACGTTTTGTCGTTTGCCATTCTTTGCCCTAGGTTAAAGTTGTCTTTTTGACATTGAAATATCTTTTTTATTTATATTGTGTCATAGATCAAACTTATTCGTTCTCAGTGTATATTTACTTGTTATTGTGTATAATTTTCTTTTTGATCAAGTTAAGCCATTTCAATTGATATTTTATTGTGTGTGTTTTTATGTTGTAATGTTATACCACTGTTTCAGGTTAGGGTGAAGGTTAGCGCCTGTTAAAACGTTTAAGTATAGATTAGACCGTTGGTTTTCCTGTTTAAATTGTTTTACACTAGTCTTTTTGGGTTCCTTTATATTTTCTGTTCGGTGTGAGCGATCGCTCTGTGTTGAAGGCCGTATTTGACCTATAATTGTTTACTTTTTACACATTGTGACTTGGATGGATAGTTGTCTCATTGGCACTCATACCACATCTTCGTATTTATATTTATAATAAGTATTGGTCAGACCTTGATGTCGATATATCGATATATCACACGCTTCGTCGTAATCATATACCATACATGTAGTTCTTTACCTCTCCTTAGTTCGACAGTCAGTCTGTCTGTCTGTCTTCTTGACTTCCATATGATACATATATACTTATATCGGATATCAATTTGGTCACATATAATGAAAGGAAGACCCTTTTTGATTTTAAGTTCACTGCGTCTCTTCTAGTTATGAAGACGATTAGAGTGAAATGATTGCAGAAAAAAGGATTTGCATACATTACATGTAAGTCTATAATCTTAAATGGTATTGTAATCTTATACGAATATATAGTTATCAAAGGTACCAGGATTATAATTTAATACGCCAGACGCGCGTTTCGTCTACATAAGACTCATCAGTGACGCTCATATCAAAATAGTTATAAAGCCAAACAAGTACAAAGTTGAAGAGCATTGAACCAAAATTCCAAAAAGTTGTGCCAAATACGGCGAAGATATGATCACATAAAATGGACGGAAGATCTTTATCGATTTTGAGGTCACAACGTCTAACATTTTTTTTTTTGTCTAAAGTGCAGGTTATTGTAATTATCATTAAACCGAACAAAGTGCATATGTAAGAGGTTCTCCAATGTTGTACTGCGAAGACCTTACATAAGATTGGAGCCACACTAAAATATATGGTAACTTATAAAGGGAAGGAAATCCTTATAATGAAGCTTGGCTCAGTAAACAGTGGGATATTTTGAAAATTGCTAACATGAGGGATGTCTTCGTAGTACCTAGACATATATGTACACGAAAAGGGAACATATTTGATAATATCATTAAAATTAAATGGTCCTCACTAAAATGTATATTTACATGTGAACAAAATTTGCATATATCTTCCAAATTTTGTGTTTTCTCGGTATAATATTACATAATTTTTTCAGGTTCAGAAATCGTTTTCCAGGCAACAAATACTAAACATGAAACTATTCCTTCATCTAGTAACAATATGTGTTTACTCTCAAGGTATGTGCCTTACAATTGACAAGTTTGAGAGGATGAAATCATATAAATAAATAAATATCAGCATCATAAAAACATTAGACAGAGGGAGACGGATATTATCTGTGTTCCATTATCTCTTAAAATGGGCTAACTTATATATATAATTTTTTTAATTAGTTTTTATGCGTATGAATATCGTATTACAGCTCACTAAATACTGTTTATAAAAAGTACTTTAAACAGAATTTGATATGTAATAAGCTTAAGTGCAATCAATCGTATCTTATTAATTTCCTTCAAAGGAAGTTATTTCAAATAAACCAATTTCTTTGACGTCATTCTATTATTCTACATGTAATATAAATAAAATAAGAAGATGTGGTATGATTGTCAATGAGACAATTCTCCACAAGAGACAAAATTAAAAGTTAGCAACGATAGGTCACCGTACGACCTTCAACTATGACCCAAACCCATACCGCATAGCAAGCTATAAAAGACCCCAAAATGAGAACTGTAAAACAATTCAAACGAGAAAGCCAACGAACTGGTTTTTGTACAAAACAAAAAACGAAAAACAAATATGATATACAGCAACAAACGACAATCATTGAATTGCAGGCTCCTGACTTGGGACGAGGCACCCCCAGAATGTGGTGGGGTTATTTCAAAACATGATCTCCCTAACCTCGGACAGTGACGTGTAACAGCACAACATAGGAACAAACTATAAAATCAATTGAAAAGGGCTTAACTTATCAGGTCTAAATCCAATTTTGTTGTTTAAGAATCTAGTTGACTAAAACATTAACAATAACAATTTTACTGCACCAGATGCGGATGTTGACATGTCTTTTCAGTAATTCTCGAGGCCAAAATATATGAAAAACCAAAAGTTATACAAACGTTGAAGAGCTGATCAACCAAAAAGGAACCTAAAGTATAGCCAAATCTGGATCAAGAATCAGAGCTTTGCACGAGGGAGATATGTTGATGTTTTGATCAATTTACATTCTAGCTTTCTACTTAAATGTAAAAACAAAACTGACACGAGTAGGAATCGACCTTATACACGTGGTTTTTGTAATGACTACCTTCTTTTGAAATCCTAGGACCGGACCGGACTACTCGATCACAACTGTCAGAGTTGAAAGGTTATGCTCTTTGCCGCTGTAGAGTACAAATAATCTCCCAACGATTACAACAGTGCACAAGAGGGTTATAAACCATATAACCACAGGCAGACAAAGATTCAATAAGATTGGTTACTAATTTGCTGGAAAACCAATAAATTGACCTACTTCAAAAATGTATGTCATACCATCGTTTAACATTAAAAAGTATAGTTATCATCTATAAACATTCTTAATACATACGTTTATTCGTATTTCATAGGAAATCATTCAAACATTGAAAAAAAAACTCGAAACATACATATTACATAAAGGTTAAAAAAGTCTGTCTCTATATATAATTATGATTCAGTAAAGAGACGGAAGATACCAAAGGGAGGAACAAGACTCCTTAATTCAAAAGATACCGGCTAAAAATGAATATTAAATGAATGACTTTATTTCTTATAATACATAGTTATAGAGAACATATCTAAAAATAATACATAGTTATAGAGAACACATCTAAACATAGTTATAGAGAACACATCTAAACATAGTTATAGAGAACATATCTAAACATAATACATAGTTATAGAGAACACATCTAAACATAGTTATAGAGAACACATCTAAACAAAGTTATAGAGAACATATCTAAACATAGTTATAGAGAACATATATAAACATAAAACATAGTTATAGAGAACACACCTAAACATAAAACATAGTTAAAGAGAACACATCTAAACATAAAACATAGTTATAGAGACAAAACATAACACATAGTTATAGAGAACACATCTAAACATAAAACATAGTTATAGAGAACATATCTAAACATAATACATAGTTATAGAAAACACATCTAAACATAGTTATAGAGAACATATATAAACATAATTATAGAGAACATATCTAAACATAAAACATAGTTATAGAGAACACACCTAAACATAATTATAGAGAACATATCTAAACATAGTTATAGAGAACATATCTAAACATGATACATAGTTATAGAGAACACATCTAAACATAGTTATAGAGAACATATCTAAACATATTACATATTAATAGAGAACACATCTAAACATAGTTATAGAGAACACATCTAAACATAAAACATAGTTATAAAGAACATATCTAAACATAACACATAGTTATAGAGAACATATCTAAACATAATACATAGTTATAGAGAACATATCTAAACATAGTTATAGAGAACATATCTAAACATAGTTATAGAGAACATATCTAAACATAATTCATAGTTATAGAGAACACATCTAAACATAGTTATAGAGAACATATCTAAACATAGTTATAGAGAACATATCTAAACATAATACATAGTTATACAGACCACACCTAAACATAAAACATAGTTAAAGAGAACACATCTAAACATAAAACATAGTTATAGAGACAAAACATAACACATAGTTATAGAGAACACATCTAAACATAAAACATAGTTATAGAAAACATATCTAAACATAACACATAGTTATAGAGAACATATCTAAACATAATACATAGTTAAAGAAAACACATCTAAACATAGTTATAGAGAACATATATAAACATAATTATAGAGAACATATCTAAACATAAAACATAGTCATAGAGAACACACCTAAACATAAAACATAGTTAAAGAGAACACATCTCAACATAAAACATAGTTATAGAGACAAAACATAACACATAGTTATAGAGAACACATCTAAACATAAAACATAGTTATAGAGAACATATCTAAACATAACACATAGTTATAGAGAACATATCTAAACATAATGCATAGTTATAGAGAACACATCTTAACATAAAACATAGTTATAGAGAACATATCTAAACATAACACATAGTTATAGAGACCATATCTCAACATAATACATAGTTATAGAGAACACATCTAAACATAAAACATAGTTATAGAGAACATATCTGAACATAATACATAGTTATAGAGAACACATCTAAACATAGTTATAGAGAACATATATAAACATAATTATAGAGAACACATCTAAACATAAAACATAGTTATGAAGAACATATCTAAACATAACACATAGTTATAGAGAACATATCTAAACATAATACATAGTTATAGAGAACATATCTAAACATAGTTATAGAGAACATATCTAAACATAGTTATAGAGAACATATCTAAACATAATACATAGTTATAGAGAACACACCTAAACATAAAACATAGTTAAAGAGAACACATCTAAACATAAAACATAGTTATAGCGACAAAACATAACACATAGTTATAGAGAACACATCTAAACATAAAACATAGTTATAGAGAACATATCTAAACATAATACATAGTTATAGAGAACACATCTAAACATAAAACATAGTTATAGAGAACATATCTAAACATAACACATAGTTATAGAGAACATATCTAAACATAATACATAGTTATAGAGAACATATATAAACATAATTATAGAGAACACATCTAAACATAAAACATAGTTATAAAGAACATATCTAAACATAACACATAGTTATAGAGAACATATCTAAACATAATACATAGTTATAGAGAACATATTCAAACATAGTTATAGAGAACATATCTAAACATAGTTATAGAGAACATATCTTAACATAGTTATAGAGAACATATCCAAACATAGTTATAGAGAACATATCTACACATAATACATAGTTATAGAGAACATTTCTAAACATAGTTATAGAGAACATATCTAAACATAGTTACAGAGAACATATCTTAACAAGGTTATAGAGAACATATCTAAACATAGTTATAGAGAACATATCTAAACATAGTTATAGAGAACATATCAAAACATAGTTATAGAGAACATATCTAAACATAGTTATAGAGAACATATCTAAACATAATACATAATCATAGATAACATATGTTATAGATACAATGGATAAGCGTGGATTCTTGAAAAAGAAACCATGAGCCTGGAGGGCGGATGGTTTGTTTTTCATGAATCTACGCTTATCCATTGTATCTAGAACTTAAACTATTGTGTTAATTTCTTTTCAAAATTATAGACTTTTCTTAATTAGAAAGTATTGTTAGTGAGTTTAAATAACCATGTTATCGTGTCCAAACGATGCTATGATAAATCTCAGATCACAATTAATTGGTTAACAAAATACAAATATAACACTTCTACCTTTAAAGATCTTCATATTACCAGGCATATGAATATTATCTGTTTATACAAAATAAGACATATTCGAAATTATTTCTAATAAAATTGAAAATGGAAATGGGAAACGTGTCAAAGAGACAACAACCCGACCAAAAAGTATATATAAAGTATATACCGGTATAATAAGTATGTTATCGAAATTTTTCTAGCATTCTAGGCACATCACGATTTTCTCGCATAGGGATTTGCGAACAAACCTGTGTAAAATTATGTAGTAAAACAGATGAAATCATACTATATTTATAAAACAAAAATTGACAAATAGAATGTAATCATTTTTGTTTCAAACATGTGAAATAGCCAATAATAATTAAAAAAAACCGGTAAAACTCGCTATTATTACAATAATATCCACTTTAACATGCAAAATTAGAAAAAAAAACAGGATAACTTAAGAATTGGAACAACATAGGGAATACAGGGATTCGAACCTAAACCGACAAATCCCTATCTTTAACTCATTGATTTTAACCATGCTAACCTCGCGGCTACCAACTCATACTATACGACTGCCTATTGTGTCTATATAAAGGTACAAGCCCTGTGTGTCCGATGAACCGATATATATCAGATGTTCATTTAAATATATAAAATAGACATCTATAGTGTAACCCATTGGTAGCCGAGAGGTTTTGTCGATGTGTTGATGTCAGTCACACATAACAGATTTCGAGGAAGGGTTCGATTCCCAGTGAAGGCATATCAAAATTACAAAAATTAAAGGTAAGTTTTTAAATTAATTCCATTAGTGAACAGAAATCAGTAAATAAGCCAATTCAAACTTAATGAAATTAGGCACACAAAGGAAACAATTGAATATAATTTGGTGAGTCAATTTCAGCAGCAGATTTAGGAAGCGTTGATTCTACAAAAAGAATCCACGGTAAATGAATAGGCTGACGTCACCACAATGGTTTAACTAAACATAATACATAGTTATAGAGAACATATCTAAGCATAATTACAGAGAACACATCTAAACATAATTATAGAGAACACATCTAAACATAATTATAGACAACACATCTAAACATAATTATAGAGAACACATCTAAGCATAATTATAGAGAACACATCTAAACGTAATTATAAGGTATGAATAAAACATGTATGTTTGAACAATACAATGAAACTAGCAAAATCATGACAAAAAACGAAAAACAACGAAAAGATAATCAACAGTCTACAAAACACAACATAAAAACCTAAACACGTCTGATTAACACGAACCCAATCTAAAACCAGGGTCATCTAGCTAATATCGATCAATATGAATTAGTCAGTCTACATTAGATATGAGTGTATTAAAGTCAAATAAATACAACGAATTAAGTAAACATATAACTGCACGTCACCTTTAAAAGTATGATAAGAGAAAGAAAAGGAGGTAATTCTTAAGCTCTGGTATGTTAATCTACCTTGTATATTGATTCGCAGGTTATAAATGTTCATGATCATATTCTAAAAACATTTGGGATTATAAATAAAATTTAAACCAGTTTAGCATTGTATTAATAAACAAAATCATACAATCATCAAACAGTTGTACCTGAATGTATGCAATAGAAAGGTACAAACTATTTTCCATCATTATGATTTTCATATATATACAACAGCAATCTCTATTTGAACAACTTTTGATCAGTCTTAAATTAATATTGTTTTCGTAAAATTAAAATAAACCTAAGCACTCATATACTTTCCCGCTTAAAAAACATAAAGGTCTGAGTCAACGTTTGAATTTATCACATTCCAAGTGAAGTGACCGATCTGTTATCACTAACTAAACATACGACTATATCATTCTTTTATCACCACGAAGAAGACGCGATCCTGGGTTAGACGGGAAAATGGCGGAAATTCAAATTTATTTGACTAGGATTGTTTTTGCTTTTGTTTTATTCTTACCAAGTAAGTTTATTGTCAATATGTTGTTTTCCCATTTTGCACATCAGTAGTTCATATTTTAAGATGCTACAGAAAGTTCTGACTTCCAATATTATAATATAAAATCACATACCGGCATGTCAGCACTTTGATCGTGTATTGTTTGTGTACGGCTGATAAGTAGGATGCATTTATAATACAAATAAATGCTGCATTCCAATTGGCACTGTTTATTTTAGAAACAGATTACAAACATTGATACATTGGTTTTCTCGTTTGAATTGTTTCACATTTTGTTTTGTCGGGGCCTTTTATAGCTGACTAAACAGTAATTGTTTTGCTCATTGATGAAGGCCGTACGGTGACCTTCAGGAACCTAAATTCTTCATTTTGACTTTGTTTGATAAGTGTCTCATTTGGGAATCATACCACATCTCCTTATTTGATATTAACATCATAGACTGTTGTAAAGTTAAAGAAATATATTCAAAACCTTTCCTGTACGGACAGCCGATCATATAACAATAAAAATGTTATTAGTAAAGTAAATGAAGCATTGTTAATTATATTATTAAATACTTTCTTAAAGAATAAAAAAAAATGCATGTTGCATTATAACTTCAGTTTAGTTTAAAAAAATTCTGGAAACAGTTGTATCTTGCCCTGACCGAGCAGGCGTTTACTGTCTGTTACATGACTGGGGCAACAATTCTTAGTGTGATGCTGAGAAATACAGGATATGGTATAAATCAAATATCTGAAATTATCCTATACTAAATATACAGGTTTACATGTTTAACAATTTTCTATCATTTTCCATTGGGTTGAAATTAACAAAAGTTTGGCAATCCTATTGCATATTGTTAAAAAAAAGACCTATCTCCTTTTTTTATTTAACAGAACAAATTGATCCTTATCCATTTTGATCCCCTTTACCTATACACATACTCAGGTTAAAAATGATAAGTCCCTAAAAATAAATATGTGACCCTCTTTTTACCTGTTTTTCTACAATTAATCCTGGTCGACCCACTTTGCAGAACGTATAATTTGAATATCCGGTTAATTTGTTTTCGTTATTATTATGCATGAAGTATTTGTCACTGGACGTTCATCAAAGCTGGTCCCCAACAACACGTCATCTGATTCATTATCGACACATTCTTAACGAGCTTCTTTGCTGATGCTGCTCCTTCTATGTTATGTTTTCTAATCAGGTTCATTACTGGCACATTCTGTCCTGGTGTGGTCTCATTAACGTATTTTCTAACGAGTTTCATTACTTCTGCGTTTTTAATTGACAGAATGACTTGAATAATGAAAAGTAATAAGAATGGATTACAATACTGGTAAAGCAATGTCATTGCTTACATGTTATAAACTTTTTAATTGTGTCAATTAAACGACAAAATCTCTTTAATTTTCTGAATGATCACTATGTTAAAAGTAGACATATATCCTAAGGTGAGCAAGTATGGGGGAGTTATGAGAGATCATGGCTTACCCCAGGTATCTATAAATATGCGTGTTTGTTTAGTAAGATGGATTAAAGTGTTATTAATCAATGATCCGTTATGGGTGGTTATCATTGAGATATTGTAATCTGTTGATAGTCGGCTACGGCGTTCAAACAATGTCAGGTACTACATATTGGTATTTTCTGACATCTTCCTATATCTATTGTGAATATTAATATTGTGTTTTATCAAAACCTAACTTATATTATACCTGACAACACAATATTAAAAAGCATACAAGCATAATATCAATTGTATGTAATAAATTCTACAACATGAAAGAGAAATACGTTAGGCAATCCAAAAATCCCATATAACAGTGGCATGATATTGTTTTATTCTCGGTTCAAACATGTATTTTCTTTGAGAGGCATTTAAACATGAATGATTAAATTAAAAACAAAAACGATGCAGTTTCCGTCATTCGCTTCATTTTAATAACTATAAACTATAGCTACAGAAAGTTGCATAAAATAATAATAATACATTTCTTTTTTTTAAAGGCATGACTGTTAACTGTTAATCCGCCCGTCGTATTTCACACGTATAATTATAATGCAAAACCAAAGGACAGTAGATCTAAAAAAAAATAGATTTAGATATTCATTTATTTCCGGGTTTATGCTTAATGAAGAAATTGATCATTTAGCATTATCATTGTTAGATAAAAGTTATCAGTACAATTATACATCCACGTTTGTTTGTTTGGTTGATTGTTGTTTGTTTAACGTTCAACTGCAAATATACAATACATATTCAGGCCAAATAACTTGAATCAAATATGAAGCTTCAGAAAAGTAGGTCGATTTTCATGCAGGGCTGAAAATTTGGACTTCCACTGGTTAATGAGAGACAGAGGTTTCCATTGCAACAGGCCGACTACGGACATGTAAACAAAAGATGTTTCAAAAGTTTTATAAGATGCTGATAATATTTTGCATCATTTTTAGATCGTACTTAACGTCCTTATTTCTCCTTGACTTGACTGCATTATGACAGTTAAATGCTAATATCGAGTTTTAACCAACCAAGTATTAGCTTTTCCAAAAAGATGTCTCTCTCTTTGCAGTATTAAATGGCAAGTGTTTACTATACATGCATGTATTTATATAGCACAGACATTATTGTTGAACATTTGCACGCAAGTAGATGATTGTTTAGGGAGTGAAAGGCTTTTTGCACGTTTTGTCTATTAACTTAAAAACTAATTTGAATTGATAAAAAGATGATATAGAGAAGGTTGGTAATGCTGCGTGCAAAATCCCGATTGAATATGGCGGGTAATTACACGTGTGGCTTATCAACATTTATCTAACTAGTCGAAATTAAAATAACAAAAATACCGAACTCCAAGGAAAATTCAAAACGGAAAGTCCCTCAACAAATGGCGAAATCAAAAGCTCAAACACACCAAACGAATGGAAAACAACTGTCATATTCCTTACTTGGTACAGGCATTTCCTTATGTAGAAAATGGTGGATTAAACCGGTTCAAAAAAGGCGCAAACAGATATTAGATAAAAGCACATAAAAGACAACAGTAATAGACTGAAAGATTAAGAAAAAAATATGTTAACCTTAAAATTAAAGGTTCTGCATCATTTTTGCAATTTATGGCCGGGTAAAACTTCAAGTTTAGATATTTCTCTTGAAATTGACGCATGATGCCTGCACTTAGAAAAAACTCACATGACCAAAACTGTTGGATTGAAAAAAAAACAAAAGGACAAAAGGTTAAGAGTTAAATCATGCTCGTGGCCGCACGAATATCTGTAGTGGTTTACATTCCTGTGTTTTTGTGGACATATGTAGTTATCATCATCAGCAATAATGCTATATATAACTTGTTCATGATTGTATTACTTCTATTGCAGTTGTGAAAGGAGAAGAAATATTTCCATTAACTGGCGGCCAACCTGTGACTAGAGGTGACAAAACAAATCACAAAGTCACACTTCCGTCTAACATCAAGTTTCCGTTCATGGGAACCATCTACGAAGATCTTTATGTATGTTTCATTACCTTACCATTTTTTAAAGATACATTTACATTGAAATTAATTCCATGTCATATATTCTATTATTATATTATAGCGGGAAACGTAAACCTAGAGAATAATTTATCTACATTCATTAAAACGTTTTCGGACAGAAACAACACAGATTGTTGATCTCCACTGATAAGAATTTTTGAAATAAAATCAGAAGGATATTTGTCAATTTGTGAAATTTAAAATCATAAAGAATGATAACTACCACGTACATATTTACTCGAAAGAAATTATCCCGAATATTCTTTATTTTGATTGGTCAGCATGTTACCTAGATGCAGGACGCTCATTATATATTTCTTTGTTTCGGGATTCGCGGCACATTTGAAATTTATTGTTGAGAGAATTATTTACCCACCCACCCGCCGTTTACAACTATTTTTTTTTTTTTATTTTAAGTATATATAATAAAGTAGTGCTTGGTGGCTAGCTCAAATGTATGTCGCTTATTTGCTGACTAACATTTTTTTCCTAGTTAAATTCTTTATATCCTGTTCTGTGAAATATATTTGTTTGTATGTTTTGTTACAATATATTGTGTCGTAACAAAATTGAGTAACTTTGATTTCGTTTGTTAGATTCCTGGTGATTTTGTATTATTTTGCTGACTGTCGAACTATGTTCTGCATTCATTATATACACATAATTTTTATTACAAAAATAGAAGAGGCTGATTTAAAGTATACTAATTATAACAGCTGTACTTATATTGTGCTAAGATCCGCCTACTCACGCGAACATCATATTGATTGCCGGATCCAACGCATACTTCTTACAACAGCTGTCCTGACTGTCATACAAGGAAACGATTTCCTTGAGAGAAAAACAAAATCAACTCTGTGCCAAAATAAAGAATTTTAGTTATCAACAATTTTTTCTTATAAAATGTATAATAATGCATGAATTTTATTTAAATCAATTAAAAATATCCCGTTAACAAGTGTTATTATTAACATATGTAGTATCAATATCTCATTTTCGAATAAAAGCACATACCTATTCCAAAAAACATTGCTTGAATCTAAAAACACCATTTCAACTCTCTGCATTAACTTTGGTTTATAAAATTTCGACTAATTCGTTGCAACTTATACTAGTACTCTGTAAACGAATTAGAATTGAACCGAATTTGTTCATATTGTTTATTATTTTCGTATTTATACTTTTGTATTCAGGTATCTAAGGACGGTCTAGTTGGATTTGCTCCAGGGACTCTTCATCAAACAGAAATATTTACTGAAACTCTAACCAAAGAGGACCCGGCATTTGCTGCTCCATATTATTTTTCTGCACAGGACATTGGTTCTAACTTGAATGGCAAGCCATACACTGGTCAGGTTTTGTATAGAGGAGAATCTGATATACCTTTAGGGGAGTTATCAAACTACTCCTCTATCATTCAGGAGTCTATGGTGGGGTTAGAGTACCAGTTCGAGGCTTCGTATGCTTTGGTGGTCACGTGGAAGGAAGTCATATCTAAAACTGATGTTTTGAAAAGTTGTAGCTCCTGCAAGGTACTTCTGCTGTTTAACAATATTTGTACCTCTATTATGATACTGTTAAATAAATAAGTGCAAGGTTTCAAAAATACTAAACTAGGGAAAAAAGTCGGTAATTTGAAATGTGATTTTTAGAATAGCTTAAAGTTAAGTTATTTTTAGACGTAGACATGATTCTGGTTACACAAATGATACACTATATTTGAAAATGTTAATTAAACATACAACTGTTTACAAAATACCTGACCACTGTCTCTCATTTAAATAAAATCATTTTTTTTTTTATATAAAACTTCATTTGAACTCTGGTGGATAGTTGACTTATTGGCACTCATACCACATCTCTTTTTTTATAGTGCAGTGCAAATTATTGTTTAATGTTGGAGATGTACCTTATATGCAAAGAATACATTTTTTCAGACTAATACATTCCAATTAGCAATGCTGACCGATGGTACTTCAAGTTTTGCTATATTCAACTATGTTAAAATGGATATTACACCAGACAAATTTACTCAGGTGAGAATTTTTATAGTCTCACTCGTTTAATGCATGATATATCTTAAGACAGAGACTTACTTCATCGAGTGAGATACGAATTTCAGTGACTCAAGACTCAAATTGTTCATATATATTTATTTAAATCGCGAGGGTCGCCATTCTTATAACAATTTTTATTTGTCGAAAATGGATAAAATATCGTATTGCGTGAGATACATTTGTGTAATCTCTAAGACTTGCTTTTATGGGTAAACCCGATATGAAGGCTTACTTCAAAGTTCTGTTATTAATTAGGTCCAGTATTTCTCTTCTTTCAACGTGATGTCAATAGGTATATGAACGTCTTTTCTTTTGATGTAACAGCAAATAAGAGGACCATAAAAAAAATCTTGCGTCACAATTACCTAAAACTTGTTTAAAAACAAAATGACGCATGATTTTGATAGACATTTACATTTAATGAATCAGATATGTTTCATAGGCATAAAGTTAAAAACATGTCTTCTGTATCAGCTGTTAAATTTGATAAAGATTTTCAATAACGACTTGACATTTAAATGAACGAAAAAGTCCAATTTTCTGCATTTAAATTTAGCTACGTTGATAAAAATGTATTTGGCATTGGACGGGACAAATAATACTTTTCAAAACACCATGATTTTAAAATGTTGTCTGAAACTGAAATCATAAAGATACTAAACTTTTGTAATGTGTTTTTTTTTAATGTACAGTCGGTAATCCTACCTAAGGATTTGATTGATCGTTGTCATGGTTTATATCTGAGACTCAGACGACCGCAAATATGTTACTTTGTCGAAGCCACATGCTTTCTTCGTATGTACAAAATGAACGTTTGAACATCGGGTGCCATTATACTAGAAATCTTATGAGTCGTCATGACATATCGGTCATTCTATACACGTCCGCTGCTCCATGGTTAATAGTTGTCTCATTGGCAATCACGTGACAAATCGGTAATTCTACCCACTTTCGTTGCTCCATGGTTAATAATTGTCTCATTGGCAATCACGTTACATATAGGTCATTCTAACCACGTTCGTTGCTCCAAGGGTAATAGTTGTCCCATTGGCAATCATACCACACCTCCTTATTTTTATAACGAAACCTTTATATAATGAGATTAATTTTTATACTTTTTTTTTGTAGTCCGGTTTTAATGCTGGTGAGGGGAGAGGATACACAACCGCATTAAACGCTAGACAATTGCAATATGCCTTGAATTATTATGGAAGTGATTCAAAGGGAAGGTATATCTTCAAAATAGATGGAGAACAAATACAACGTGGTGGATGCTCAATGGATACACGTGGAGGTAATATATAACTCAAAACAGCAAAAGTTCATCAACATGTATAGTTTTAAAATGACTAAATTGTAAATAACTGTCATACAAGTGAGAGGTTTAGCTAGCAATAAAACCAGATTTAATCCACCGTTTTCTACAGAAGGAAATGCCTGTACTAAGTCAGGTACATGACAGTTGTTTTCCATTCGTGTGATGTGTTTGAGATTTTGATTTTGCTATTTGATAAGGGACTTTCCGTTTTGAATTTTCCTTAGAGTTCGGTATTTTTGTTATTTTACTTTTTTTAACCCATGTTTGGTTCATTTGTAATTACGTTATTTTCTTCAGTTTCTCAGTAGATCAATCATATGTGAACGGAAGCAATCTGATATAGATTTAAAATAAATATTTGTATATATATAGATTCTTACATTGGTACCAGTGGATTATCGGATTTATCCAATCGAGATAGTTAAATTATTCAATTATAAAATATCTATCGAGATAGATTTTGGCGATATTTATGTATTTATCACACGAGTTCACTAAAAATAAAAAAAGCTTACCATCAAAGTTGTTAAACCTTTGAAAACAAATAAATAATACTTTGAAGTGTATTCATGTTCTGATATCTTTTAAGGTGTTCTTAATATTTACCCAACATATGCTGGAATGCTTGGTGGTAAAATGCTGGATATATCTGGTCCATGTATGCAACGTAGCACTCGTCAACCAATAGTGAAGTGTAGATTTGGAGGCAAAGATGATTTAGTTACATACGGCTATAAAGTTAATTCTATGAAAGCAAGATGTTCTGTTCCACGGATGTCCATACGGGGATGGATAACTGTGGAGATGTCGATCGACAACAAACAGTATTCACACAGTACACAAATACTTATAGGTACGTTTTACAGATTAAAAGAAATACTTAAGAAAAAATTCTGTCATGCCATGCTCTATGCTTATTTGAACATGGGTAGGCATTATATTTGTCAATATCTTTAAACCGAGCGTTAGCGAGGTGTAAAATGTTGACATGTATATTGCCTACCCATGTTAAAATGAGAATAGAGCATTGAATTATTTCGATTCTAATAGGAAAATTTAGAACTTTTATCATCTGAAGCGGACCTATAATACACGTTCGAAAGGCAGCCATTTTGATTTGATGAAGCCAAAAAGCGATATAGAAAATCAACTGTTTCACGATAAAAAATGAACAGATACATGTAAACTTACTTTTAGAATGATTTTATTTCATTTCCTAGCGAGCAACACCAACACAAATATCCATTTTGATCTCCGGCGTTGTTTAAAATACTACTGACGTTGCAAGTTCAATTGTGACGTCAATATCGTGCAGCTCATGTTTTATTCGAATAAGAACATGGCTTTGTTTCAAAAGCGAATGTAGAACTTCATATTAGAATCCATTTCAATACATGCGCTTGAAATATTTTATAGCACATTTCTGTTGTTGAAGACCGTGTATTGCCTCAGTATAGCACATTTCTGTTGTTGAAGACCGTGTATTGCCTCAGTATAGCACATTTCTGTTGTTGAAGACCGTGAATTGCCTTTAGCACATTTCTGTTGCTGAAGACCGTGTATTGCCTCAGTATAGCACATTTCTGTTGTTGAAGACCGTGTATTGCCTTTAGCACATTTCTGTCGTTGAAGACCGTGTATTGCCTCAGTATAGCACATTTCTGTTGTTGAAAACCGTGTATTGCCTCAGTATAGCACATTTCTGTTGTTGAAGACCGTGTATTGCCTTTACCACATTTCTGTTGTTGAAGACCGTGTATTGCCTCAGTATAGCACATTTCTGTTGTTGAAACCGTGTATTGCCCTCTACATGTCTTTTAGTATTTGTGTTGCAGGGTTGTTGTCTAATTGGTGTATATAAAACCTTCACATATGTTCATGTTTTAAATATATATATATTGCCACTAGTACTTTATATGTTAGAATAATTTGAGCATCTTATTGACTACCCAAAACGTTCATTTGCGATACCGGGCTTATAACTGAAAACATGGAGATTAGAAATGTGTGCACCCAACATTTCACTTGCGATCATTGTTAACGAAACAGGTGTTCCATATGGAACTGCTTACCTTCAGGAGCACCTGGAATAGATGGGGTTCATGTTGCTCAGTCTGTCGTTTTTATACGACCGCAAAAAAGTTTGCGGTCGTATATTGGTATCACGTCGTCCGCGTCGTCCGAAGACATTTGGTTTCCGGACAATAACTTTAGTATTAGTAAATAGAAATCTATGAAATTTAAACACAAAGTTTATAACCACAAAAAGAAGTTTGGGATTGATTTTGGGGGTTATGATCCCAACAGTTTAAAAATTAGGGGCCAAAAAGGGGCCCAAATAAGCATTTTTCTAGTTTCCAGACAATAACTTGTGGAACGGTGTATGGATCTCTCTGAAATTATACCACAAGTTTCCATACCACAAAGGGATGGTTAGGATTGGCTTTGGGGTGTTATGGCTCAAACCGTTTAGTAATTAGGGGCAAAAAAGTGAGAAAAAACAAGGGTGTCCTGGTTAATGGACAATGTTGTATTTGAATTACCTCCCTTACACTGATTTTAAATTATGTATAAAGAAATGTTGTATTGTCTTGAGGTGATTAGCTGTCAATTTATTTTTAGAAGTTACTATTTTAATAATTTTAAAAATGCTGATTAAGGTATATTAATTTTAGCCATGATTATGTATGTCATTTTCTATTTTAGGACTTTTATGATGTATTTAAATTGGTTATTATGGTTGCAAACTCCATTGGAAATTTTAATTGAGATTTTGACCATATTTTGAAGGAAAGAATTCTTTTTTTGGAAAAGGGGAGGGGGGGAGGTTGAAAAAAAATTGGTGGTGGGGACAATTTTTTCTCCTCAAGATTTCAGAAATCAAAAAGAAAATTTCTTCAATTTTTTTTTTTGAAAAAAAGGGGAGGGGGGGATAAAAAAAAATTATTTTGAAAAAGAAGGAGGGTAAATTTTTTTTTTTTGGGGGGGGGGGGGGTGGGAGGTCAATTCGCAACAGCATACTGTATTGCACAAAAGCAAACGAAAAAAGGGGGGGTAAATTTAAGTTCTTTGACTACAGTAATTCTGTGTCAGAAACCTATAATGTGTCAAATATTGAATTACAATCAAAATTCAGACCTGTATCAAGCGCGAATATTGTGTCCATTTTTGCCCCAACCTCTGCGGTCGTATCCAGCTGCGCTCGTCGAAGCAATTTATTATGTTTTGTTTTGTATACTGTTGTTTGTTTTGTTTCTGTTGTGTGGTTGTCTGTTTGCCATCGAATTTTGTATATTAGTCAAAATATCCCTGTTGTATTACAGCCTCTCTTTCACAATGTATATTAGTCAAAATATCCCTGTTGTATTACCGCCTCTCTTTCAAAATGTATATTAGTCAGAATATCCCTGTTGTATTACCGCCTCTCTTTCACAATGTATATTAGTCAAAATATCTCTGTTGTATTACCGCCTTTCTTTCACAATGTATATTAGTCAGAATATCCCTGTTGTATTACACCCTCTCTTTCACAATGTATATTAGTCAAAATATCCCTGTTGTATTACCGCCTCTCTTTCACAATGTATATAAGTCAAAATATTCCTGTTGTATTACAGCCTCTCTTTCACAATGTATATTAGTCAAAATATCCCTGTTGTATTACCGCCTCTCTTTCACAATGTATATTAGTCAAAATATCCCTGTTGTATTACCGCCTCTCTTTCACAATGTATATTAGTCAAAATATCCCTGTGGTATTACCGCCTCTCTTTCACAATGTACAAATGTATATTAGTCAGAATATCCCTGTTGTATTACCGTCTCTCTTTCACAATGTATATTAGTCAAAATATCCCTGTGGTATTACCGCCTCTCTTTCACAATGTATATTAGTCAGAATATCCCTGTTGTATTACCGCCTCTCTTTCACAATGTATATTAGTCAAAATATCCCTGTGGTATTACCGCCTCTCTTTCACAATGTATATTAGTCAGAATATTCATGTTGTATTACCGCCTCTCTTTCACAATGTATATTTGTCAAAATATCCCTGTTGTATTACCGCCTCTCTTTCACAATGTATATTAGTCAGAATATCCCTGTTGTATTACCGCCTCTCTTTCACAATTTAAGGAAATTGACATCTAATAATCTAGACAAATTAGCAATATTAAGAATAACTCCAGTTTCCAAAGTCATAAAACTTGAATGAGCAAAAACGTTTACTCCCAGGGGTCAATAAAGCGACTGAAAATTTATTTAAGTTTATAATTTTCATACACTTTTAAAAACTATCTAAAATATAACACATCAGTACACTTAGCCATTACAATTAGTAAAACCTAAATATGAGAACCTTTAAATGTGTTTTGTTTGTGTGCATGTTTGCAATGAATGTGTGTGTTTCGCGATTTGTTTGGGTTGTTTTGTAGTCAGCACTCGTTGACGTATGCAGTTTACTATACTTCATACATTGACACGCGATTAATGGTCTTCGCGCACTTGCCGTTTACAAATGTTTATCTATGTCGATGATAAGGACTTCATCATTAAGAAGCTATCAGACTTAGAACAATGTTATATCATACAACCGTTTTATCTGCTAAAGTTTCAGGGACATATTGTGCTCATTTAAATATGCATTTTTACTGACACTCGTATTGGCTTTTAGACTGGCATTTTGCTATTTGTAATCTAGTTCAAATTAACAAAAGTAATTTTGTAGTTAATCCAGGCAAAGTATCTGGTGCGGAGAGACTACAGTTACCATACATGGGACAGGGACAGGGTTGGAACGAGACAGTCACAACACAGTTAACTTTGAAATGGAACAGTTCTTTGCTGACAAATAACGGAAATGCAAACATCAATATTTCATTGATGGGGTATAAGGAAAATAGTAATGGGGTGAGTCATGATATCTTTACTCGGTACAATGTTTTTTCATACTGTGCAATTTGTATTTCAATGTCTATCACAACCAGATAATAAACGCATAGAAGAGCAGGTTTTCAAAACAATCATATGGGGAAATTTGTATACGGACGACGGAATAATATTACATTACTGGTCCTCCCTGTGCCTATACCACTCTTTTCTAACCTACTCTTCATTCAAATGGCATATCACAGCTTTGTGACGTCAAATATGCTTGACCCCGCATTAACAACATTGATCCGCCATAAATACATTTGACCCGAATTTGTACTGTAGAATATCAACTGCTGGACACACATGCAGTCTATTGCAACTCGTTCGCTGTGATCCCTTTTTGAAACCTTCGTGTTGTGACTTGCAGCTGATGTTTTTCAGAAGCAATATGCAGAAAACCTGATATTCGGTACATATCAGATATCAAGTTATTTATGGTATTTTAATGCATTTTAATGCATTTTTCTTTGAAAACTATTAGATGTTTCCGCTACACGTAAAATTGCATTATCTGACATGATATCATTGTTCATTTTAAACCCAAAAAATACGGTCTAACATTTCTTCTATTTTTATTCTAGAAATGATCAACTACCTTGCAATTGTTTTTTTTTCTCTATACAAGAAAATGCAAAAAAAAAGTTTATATAATTATAAACCTTTAACAAATAAGTTATTAATATATTCTAAGTTGTTTGTAATGAAAAAATCTTTACAGGATCAACGATTTATTTGTTTGTTAGATTTTGGTTTTAATTATTACAACTGCATCTGTTCATATTTGTTTACTTTACTAGATAACCTGGCACAATCTAAGAAATATAGGAAGTATTCGAGCATCAGCTGGGCAGTTTACATTTCAGACAAGTGATATAAATTGTATAGGTGCTATTTGTGATGAGTATGAAATTGGAGTTGTTATGGCTGAACTACAAGATCAAAAACAGGCCACGTTCTACAGGTATGAGGCAATTTAATCGTTCATTTAAATCCATATATATATATTTAGGAAGCATAGCAGATGCAGTTTTACAAGAAGAAGTATGTTGGTTAGATAAATGACACATGTTGAATAAAATTAAAATATGTATATGTATCCACAAAAAAATGCCCCTGAAAGATATTTGAGTTTTCATTATATGGTAATGATTGTTTATTGTTGTAATTCAGTGTTTCTGTTGTTCCTTTATTTTCCTCTTATAGTTGATGTGTTTCCTTCGGTTTTATTTTGTTACCCGGATTTGTTTTTTCTTAATCGAATTATTACTATTGAACAGCGGTAAACTACTGTTGCCTTTATTTATTGTCTGCTTGTCATCCAGTTGGAACTATTTATGCATAATTAGTATCAAAATAATGAGTGAGATGAATATTTCTTGCTTTGTACTAAAACAACATCCTGAGTAAGATAGGTATATTGCTATACATGTAGATCCAAATGTATTAAAATATTCCCTTAAAATACCTGTCACTCCATTCACATGCTTTTTTCTTACTGAGCAAAATACTCTTTCCTTTTGCTCCTAAAAGCTGTAATGCATTTAAAACTCTTTAGCTTGACTAGAAGTGGTTGAATCAGTTACACACCCTTAATTATTATGAGCATGCCAATCACAATACGGTATCACCTTGGTCTCGTTTGAACTCTTTATTAGACGATAAATTCCCCTAACAAAAGAAGAGTTCTGCTTGTATGTCAAAAGACTAACAAGGGAATATGGGGTTTCATCAACATCAAATACTTCTTTGAAAAAGTTCATGGGAATTTACTATTCATTTCATCCAAAAAATATAAAGGTCTATGCCTGTTGAAACAAGCATCGGGGATGACGATGGTTCTAACAAATATTGATGTGTTTGTGAAATATTTTTAATTTGTGCATCCTAGAACAGGTCTTTAAAGGTAAAACGATAAGTATTTCGGATAACTCTGTGTTCAGTAACTACTTGTCCACGACAATGAGCTGACACAACTGCATGTTGGCATCCCGATTTTTGACCTTTTATTTACAAATCGATTTATCACACGTGCGTTTACAACGATGAGAGCATTATATGCAACAGAAAAGCGTCTATGTAAAAACAAATGTCAAGGAGAAACTAATTTTGGAGCGGCATGCGGACCAAAAATTTGCAGTAGTGTTTTTTTTTTTTTTCTTTTTTATTGAAAAGTCAATTTCTCCAAAACAGGAGCGGGAAAATCCAAAGAACTATTAATCAAATTGGTGTGGCCTTAAGGAGGTTTCTTTGTTTTCGATAGTAAAAAATTAGTCGTTAAATTAAAGAGCCTATGCAGGGCCTTTGATGGTCGGAGTACATTAGGTTTTATTTTAACTGCAACGTATCGGCAGGGTCCTCGGTATCCGAACTGGTTTTTAACCGGATTTCTAACGGAAAATATCGGTTATTAATTTGGTGATGTACGGCGGGCGGGGGCCGGGCTGGCGGTGGCCAATAGTGTCCGTGCATTAACTTTAAAACGCTTCGTCGAAATCTTTTCAAATTTAGATATGTTGTTCCCTGTGACCAAATGAAGGTCAAGTTCGATTTTTTCACGATTTTAGCTTTTATTGTTGGTGTTGTAGACCTATAAGTAGCGAAAAGTGATACTTAGATAACGTGCAAGAAATCAATTATGACAGCTTCTTGATACAGTAATGACGTAAAAGAGGCATAAAGTGATACATTAAATAATTTTAGTAGCAGAGTCAAGTTATTCCTCTGGTGTCTAATCTGAGAGGTCTGGATACTCATATTAAGGACATGGTTAAAGCTGGTTATTTGGTAAAAGATAATCATAGTAATTAGTTTGATATAGCAGAATCCACATTGTGTGAATGAACCTCAGGAATAGATTACCTTAGCTGTATTTGGCAAATATTTTCGAAATGTTGGGTCCTCAATGCTCTTAAACTTCGTACTTTATTTGGGCCTTTTCACTAATTTGATTCAGCGTCACGGATTAGTCGAAACGCTCGGCTAGCCTTATAAAATCATAGCAATGTCTCTTTCTAACCATGATATTGTGTTTTTGGTATTAAAGCAATGTCAATTAGGCTAGCATTGACCGATTGGTCTAGGTAGTAATGTTTCATCTTCTTCCGAAGGTTATTGTGAGCTATATATATATATAAATAAATATTAATTAAATATTTGCCATATTTCAGATTCATAATAAGCAAGTTAATACCGCTAGGATTTTTTGTAAACAATGCAATGGTCATGAAACTAGGTGATAATTGGCCAAGTCAGAAATGTAAGATGTGGCATGATAAGGATAAACAGGATATGGGCTGGCTTAATGAAGTAGAGAGTTGTCCATGTACACTAGTACAAGCTCTAAGTGATGTAGGACGTTTTTACTCTGATGCTGGATGTTACCTGTATGATAAAAGAACCAGTAAATGCAGATACCACGAAGGATCTGTCCATTGTGTGCGTTCTGTTCAACCTACGTAAGTAAATTTACAAACAATTATAGAAATTTAGAAATCTTACATTAAAATTTCCAATTCCTCAGGCATGTTTGAACTAAGGTGTATTTGACCTTTCTTTTCCATTAAAGTTTAAAATTGAAATCAAAATAAAACAAAATAAACAATGGTTTACTTTTATAAATTTTGACTTGGATGGAGAGTTGTCTCATGGCACTCATACCACATCTTCTTATATCTAATTGATATTTTGTTGTTGTTTTCATCATTGAGTAGTTAGCTGCTTCCTTATTAACGTTCGTTTATATCTCATCTAGTAAATGTAATTGATGTATTGTAGTTCTACGCCGTAAATATATAAGCTGTTGCTTACATTAGAGACCAAATATGCTCATTTTCATGATCTATTAGCATCAAATGAGATGTTGAACATGATCTTAAAAATTACTTTTACAAACAAATTATAGAGTTTCTGAGGATTTTATGACATAACTACAAATTAAGTTTAGAACGAAAACGGTATCTTTATTTTTATGTAGAAGGCTTATATAGATATAAGAAGATGTGGTATGAGTGCCAATGAGACAACTCTCCATCCAAGTCAAAATTTATAAAAGTAAACCAGTATGGGTCAAAGTACGGTCTTCAACACGGAGCCTTGGCTCACACCGAACAGCAAGCTATAAAGGGTCCCAAAAATTACTAGTGTAAAACCATTCAAACGGGAAAACCAATATAGCCTTTTTTTTGCAAAAACAATGTTTATTTCACCTGTAACCATATGGCCTAAAGGATCATATAAAAATCCAGAATTTAACGGTCTATGAAAAAATGTAAAGCTAATGTAGATATCAATTACGGAAGAAACGGATGAAAAATTTTAAAATATTGATATTAGATATTTGTTGATGTAAGAATGGTAATTATGTATTATCAAAATATATCAGTGTTATTACCTTAATTACCAAAATTAAAACAGTAGTTACTTCACCATATCTCGGTACCATAATTGTCTGATAATTCATCTCTGCATGACCTCTGATTGTTAATCAGATGAAGGATTCAGGTATGTGATCACGACTGCATTTAATCAGTTGCATAGCCTGCTTTGTAAGAGTCGACACAAATTAATCTATGTTCTGAACTCATAATTTCATTGAGAGTATAGCCTATAGATACTACCCACAGTTGAAAGCACATGGCAGTTGTGCACATGTGAAACTGGTTAAACCACACCATAATTTTCGCCTGTATAAATTCAGGTTATCAAGACCATGTGTTGTTTGTTGCCTTGGTTTATATTTACTTACGTTTTACGGGTGTTGGGGTGGAATATTGAATTGTCCAGTATTTTGGTACTTATAATCAACCGATGCAAATGTCCAAGAAACCACACTACAATCAAACAGAGCAAGACCGAATGCATGGAGTGTTTTTGGTATCTTTAGGTATCAGCTACACATACAATATTCGCAATGCGAAACAAGACTTTTGACAAAAAACTGAACCTTGTCACACAAGAAGTATTTTCGTGTGTTTAGATATAAGAGAACACCAAAATATGTCAGTCTCGAGTTGAAACTCAGGCAAAAAAGTTTTTTTGTCGGAGTAGAAATGAACGTGTTCCTCACATGTCCCATTTGAGTTATTTATGTGTTGACGTACTATCAATGCTGGTTGTCGACTGAACTCAGAGAACGTGATTATTACATGGATCAGCGATCAACGATGGACTATAAATGCTATAATTCCCCAAAACCAGTTACAAAAACGTTAAAATTTTACTACAAATTCTGATAAAATTTATATGAATATAGGACCACATTTAAACATATTGCTTTTGTTTTTCTGTAGAAAATCCGGTGCCGGAAACCAGTGTTGCTATGATGACAGAGGTAATCTAAGGTATGCAGCTGATAGTTTTAGAGGAAGTACTCCAGATAAAAGTCATGGTTTAGGTGCCGCTCCTTTTGGTCGGCTTGACCTTGTTCCTGACATGTCTCACTGGGTATTAGATATTGCTTCACTCTTTCAATGCTGTATGTGGACTGACTACAAGGACTGTGACTATTATATGGACCAACGACCAACCATCGACTGTAAAGGATATAATCCTCCAACACCAGGTAGATAAACGATAATATTTTACTCCTGAAAAATATAACAAAAATACTGAACTCCAAAATTAAACGCTATCAATCAAAGCAAACGTGAGCATAATTTACAAGACTTTTTTTGTTATTCCGGCGCTTTCTTAGGCTGAAGGTGTACAGTGTTAAGGGAAATGTAATTTAATTTCTATAGTGTTCCTGTATTTGTCTTTGCACATTATTAACCTTTACTGTTTAGTCCATTTTTGGTAAGATCCTTTTACGTGGCTCGGTTCTTATACATCCCGCCATTGTATTATTGTGCTATGGCCATTGTTTGTATTCTTGTCTTTCGTTTTTGCTTATCTGCTATGTATATATGCCATTTTTTATTCGTTGTTGACATATTTGTTTTTTGTTATTATAGTGATTAAGATTATAACACAATGTTGACTGCTATACCTCTATTTTTGACATTTGTACCTACTATGTCTGTTTGTTTTGTTCACACATTGTTGTCGATATAATGGAATTTTATGCGACTGTCATACAAGTGAGAGGTTTAGCTAGCTATAAAACCAGGTTTAATCCACCATTTCTAGATAAGGAAATGCCTGTACCAAGTCAGGAATATGACAGTTGTTTTCCATTCGTTTGATGTGTTTGAGCTTTTGATTTTGCCATTTGATAAGGGACTTTCCGTTTTGAATTTTCCTAGGAGACGGTATTTTTGTTATTTTACTTTTTTCTAATGAACAACTATATTTGATACCATTCCAACAAATAGCCTCCGTAATAGCGTTTCTGCCAGGTCGTCAAATAAAATGCAAACTCACGATACAGGACAGTGGATTTCTCAAATTGTCCAAAGTGACATTACATATTATGGCTTCTGAATCATGAAAACTTCAACATCATAAGTCAACAGTCACTAATCAAAAGTACAAAACAAACAGACAAAACTTCAACAACATAAGTCAACAGTCACTAATCAAAAGTACAAAACAAACAGACAAAGTAATATTAACACATTAAGGCTTTTTTGTTTTTATATTGCCTTTTTTTTTCAGAAATTCCAGTACAAACATTATGCATTGTTAATATCTAATGCTCAACGTGTGACGTTTCTCTCTCCATGCATCCGGGTTTGGTCCTTTAAGAGCCCAAACTCTTTGTTCTTGGTTTTTGTATAGTTTTAACGTTTATGGCATCGGTTAATTGAAATACAAACATTAATCTTTAAATTGACAAAAGTATACACGCACATCCTGTTTACAGTAGTAAATAAGCGGTGTATAATGGGGTGTTGTGGTATTATATATGCCTTATTATTACCACAAGTGTACATTATCAAGTTAATTGTAGCCCTTGTATGTCAATTTTTATGTGTTTAGCATACCAAACACTTTTTAGCATCTTACATTAACAGCTTACTCTTTTGGAGAACCCTAGTATGTTCATGTCCGAGTTGGTTTCGTGTTGCTCAATTATTAGTTTTGTGATAAATGGTCAATTAGGAACTACATATTGTTAAATATACACTTTTCCTGAGTATTTTACAAAGTCTGCATAGTTGTTAGTGTTGTACATCAGCAAACTATATACTAGTGTAATTTTTCTATTTACAGCGATGGTTTTTGGTCAAGGTCACATTGAAACGTTTGATGGGATGCATCAACGTATGTGTGGTCATGGCGATTTCCTATTGATGAATACTACGTTACCGGATAATAGTGTTGTCACAGTTCAAGGACGATTTTACGAAAATGTTTTCCCTGAAATTGTTGGTAAGCTTAGTTATTATATTCACATTAATAATACATATCTAATTATAATTATCACAATAGATACATTTATTGGAGTATTTTGGGCTAGTTTTATTCACAAGGTTTGGTTTCCAGTCCGCGTTGGCCACGTGTGCATGTTTGTGGCAGAGAATTATTTTGAAAATAGATTTTTCTGCTCTGATGTGTGGATGTAGTAGAGTGTGTCCCCGTGCTTGTAGTTTATCCCCTTTTATTTTTACAGTTAGGGTTTTTCCTTGTGAGATAGCTACATATTCTATTATACTAATGTTCTATTTCTTTTTCTATATTTCATCCCTGCCCCCTTCTATGGTTTTACTAAGAATTCTTATATCATTCTGTATTTGCCTTTTATTAGGTCCGGGGACACAGTTATCGTCCTTTGATTTTCGTTGTCTACAAATAGAGTCCCTAGTGCAGACATTGTATAACTTGCGCACATTTTGTTCATGCACCTTCCAAATTTATTTCTTTATATTTTATGCATAAAATAGTGAATTGGGAGGTGAAATGTCATGTATAAACAATTTGGAGTAATTTTTACATGTATGTAAAGTAGGGATCAGGTCCAGTTTGAAAAGGTCAAAAATAAGTACGTCTAGATCTGAAGCTGACTATGCGGTATGGGGTTTGCTCATTGTTGAGGGCCGTACGGTGACCTATAATTGTTAATTTCTGTGTCATTTGGTCTCTTGTGGAGAGTTGTCTCATTGGCAATCATACCACGTCTTCTTATTTTTATAATTAGTTGTTATGCCTAATCTTTTGGCACCACATGTGAAGATTTAAATTATTTCACGATGTCGTAATTTTCCTCCTTTTTCAAAATTGTTTTTCTACTGTTAAATCAAACCTATTTGATTTAATTAACAGTACAATTATAACTGTGACGCCATCAACACCACCATTTTTTCAAAGGAAATACAAAAAAGACATGACATACGTTAACCACTGACGAGGTTTTGATTTTACAAAGTCACGTGTGGCGTGGTTATTTTAGTTTATTAAGATCTCAGCCTTCCGCAATTTTCTCCGGATTTGTGGACCTCACATTAAACATTCTATAAAAATCATTTCTGTGAAAGCACTTACTCTTAATTAATGAAACAATATGTCTCTAAACAATAAAAAAAAACAAATGACGAATAAACAACAGTTTAACGTGTCGAACAATGACCTCAAAAACTGGAAAAACTCAGCTTATATGAAAAGAAATCATGTTGCCGTACACTCTGATATCGCCTGTTGAACTTCATACATACCGCAGCGCCATAAATAATACAGGAGTACACGATCTTCTATAATGCGCACAGATTATAAAGCTATCTTTAAATGTACGCAATTGCATGTCAACATCTTTAATGTATCATATGTCTAATTTTAGCTACTAGTATATTCGCGACAAAAAAACCCAATGTTACGCGAATATCCAAATGTATGATATTCTTGAAATTCTGGCGGAAACCATTATTATTGAATCAGATGTTATACAACTTAACCAGTTTGTTTCTTGTAATGCAGGTGAAAGAGGAAACACCTCTGTCGTGTTAACCAATGTAGGCATTCGTGTTGTTCGTGGTGGTTCTACAGAGACTGTAGAAATAAGACTAAAATTGCCAACAACAGATAGGAGTGCACGTTATCTTGATGTTCTCGTCAATCAGCATTATCATTTTTTCGAGTCTAAACAATCCTACTGGCAGGATTTTAAATGTGAGTAAATGTATATTGCTATAAAGTGTAGGTATTAGTGCATTAAGATACATGTATTTTGTGAATATGAACTGTTGTAAGTTGTTTCATTGTAGTTTACATAACATGTGTTAACAGTTTTTATCAAACGTATCATTTCAACTTATACTTACAAAAATTTAAAGCCATGTCTTCGAAAAGGTTTCGCACATCCTTGTGACTTAACATAGCAGAATATTTAGTCCACAGATATCTATCTGTTTATATAACAACAAAATAATTTACCAAAAAACATAGAAAACACTTATAAACATTTTTGGTCGTAATAGTGCACCAGAAGTAATATTATCTATACGAACATATTATGGTCGCCATAAAAAAAGTAGATAGAAACAGATTTAAGGTGTAAATACCATAGAAACAGGTCACAGATAGAGTTACAACGCGCTCCAGGCATTTTATTTTGGTTTTTTCTTTATTGATACCGCTGCTGGTGTTCTATTAGTTCTCGAGGGTATTATTTGTTCAGTAGACAGTGCTTTGGTACTGGCATGATTAATAACATACCCAACAAAAATTGTGCTTTCATAAACTTTAATTTTTTTAAGAAATTAAGGTTCAAACCGCCTAAGGCAAAGTTGACCATTGATGAATTTGGCCAAAACAAATTTAGGTCCCTATTCCTCATATTGATCTGTACGTGTTTTTGGTACTTAAAAATCCTTGACTTTTGAATATTTAGCAGCTATTGGCGTTCCTGATGAAGATTGATCCAGAAAATCGATTTGGACGTATAAATGTTTGTTATTTTCAGTTTATTCTATACGACAATCAAGTTCTTTATATACTGTTAGTTAACCCCGCCTCATTCGTTATGTGCCTGTCTCAGTACAGAGCCTGTAATTAAGTGCTTGTCGTTGGTTGCTGTCTGTCCTATTTGCATAAATTGTTATTTTTTTCGTTTGAATGGATTCACATTTTATCATGTCAGTGCCTTTTAAGACGGACTACACGGTATCGGTTTTGTTCATTGCCGTAAATTGCTTCAATCCGCTTCATTCGGATTATATATGTTGGATAGGTGTGTCATTGGCAATTATACCACACATTCTTATTCTATAAAGATGTCTAGATAAACAAATGAAATTCAACCATAATCAGATGTCTTTACAAAATATCCCAATGTCTGAGAAGTAGTAGATATTCTTTTAAATAGACACTTCTAAAAACCCTCCCCATTTTTATTTCGAAAAAAATTGGAATAAATAAAGATATTTAAAGGGAAATGCAATGGAACTAAGTAATCGAATAGCACGTTACTATATGATTATGGTATAATAGGTAACCAAAACAGAAGTATTTATCTTTTCCTCTATGTGGATGGGTTTTTTTTTATTTTGTTGTGTTCGTATTGACTTGGGCATGGCCATTCTTGAATTAGGCAGCTGTCTGCTTCAATCTAGTTTCAAAATGCAGAAGCTTGTCATTTTCGACCTGAAATAATAGGTTTATTTTTCATATTCAACTGCTGAAAATATATAGAAAGAATTGATTTCGTTCCTAACAAATGTTTACTTAAGTAAGGGATTACTGAATTTGTAAATACTATGCAGACAAGATACTTTATGAAAGTCCCATCTCATGTATACATATTTAAAATATAGACATATACAAATGGTAAACAACAGCGCATATATAAGCCATTCTAAAAAATAAGACTTATGAGAGACTGATTTAAAACACAATTTAACACAATTAAAACGATAACAAAATATGTTTATTTCATTCAATAAGCATTTACGGTTGTGAACACGGACGAGACGGGTAAAGAAGCTAACTTCACAGTTATTCTAAAGCAGTATGGACTAGCTATACAGGTTGCTGATTGTGACAAAACATTGTGTGTTTTAGTTGTGGCACCGCCTTCATTTCAGGTAACTCTTTTGATTTGTTAAAAACGATTTGACTATACTATGTTTAAACCATGGTAAACATATCTTTTTTTAACAAACAATAAGGCATATATATATATCAACTAATTATGGAATGTTTGATGTCTGATAAATTATACAGCGCAAAAATGTTAAATATTAGCTCAATAACGAGGTATTATTTCTGCTACATTAAAAACGTAGGAATAAATAGTCTAAATCCAGGGCATTCGTTGGTGAGTTTTTCCTACCGCTAGCCATTCATGGCCGTTAAAGAGTTGGCACACGTTTTTTTAGTGCTATTCGTCTGCCTAAGTGAAAACAGATATAGATAATTCAACATTTGTATTAGATTTTGGATATTCAAATATTTTAGCATCGAGCATCACTGAAGAGACATTAATTGTCGAAATGTGCATCTGGTGTATTAACATTGGTACCGTTTATGTCATTGCCGCTGTATGTTAAGCAAATAATAGTCCATCAACTCCTTTTATTGGTTTTTGCCGATGTAAATGTTTTGAACCAAGTGTCATTGTTAAGTCTGATAAAGACAAAACGCGCTTTTAGCGTTTTTAATTATGAGCCTAGTATCTTTGATGACTTTTTGTATAAACCAAACTTTTGTTACGTATACTCAGTAAACATAAACATGCAATGAATTCATATAAGATGTGCATCCGCAAAAGTACTCAGAAGACAACAGAATTAGTAACAGACTAAGATAGAAATGTATTTTGTTTATACGTAAACAGCATTTTTTAATTGTATATCTTGAATATAATATAGATACAGAACAATTGTAAATGTCAATGGGTAGTTGTGAATAACTGATTGCCAGAATCAGTCGTAACCGCTAGTTATCCCATTTTGAAGAATTACAAGTATATGTCGTCAAGATCTTTACTGTATTTGTAGGGAAAAGTACAAGGCCTGCTTGGGAACTTTAACGGGAATGCCACAGATGACTTGCTACATGTAAATTATACAATTACTGAACAGATGAAACAAGACAAAGTTGATGATTTAACGCTTTATCAGTTTTTCAAATATCCATGTAAGAATCATTTAAGAATGAATTTTATCTTAAAATTTGAACAAACAAGTTTTTTTTATCTGATTTATAATAGGATGAAATGTGTCCTCATGAATAAGTCTTAATTTAGTTTTGCCTTCCTCAAGATACAATTCTCAGGATTAAGAAAATGAAATAAAATATTTTTAAAAAATCTAATTTAAAGACATGCTTATTGGCATCCTAAAAATGACATCGATTTTGATTTATCATTTGTGTATAACATATAATTGTTTGTAAGGTTGCTTAATCTTCATTCATTACCACACATTTCAAATTGTTTTACAGGGGCAACGCAGGAGAAAGACAGCGTTTTACCAATCTTTGTCTCTCCAAGTTATGACCCGCACATTTGTTCAGCAGATCAACCTAATAGAACACCTCTTCAGGAATGTAACAATAATAAGCCTTGTTTGTTTGACTATAGTGCTACTGGTGGCAAGGCTATTGCATTAAGAACTAAATCAATGTCTATGAGAATTCACGAACTACGACATTTTCTTACACCAGGTAAAGACTAGATCTTCTAGTTGTAGCTTTAGTAGTTTTTTTTTAATAGCAATCTGTTCCAAAATTCAAACTTATTAACTTATTAGATAAGGACAGAAAAAAAGTAAAATCACAAAAACACTGAACTCCGAGGAAAATTCAAAACGGAAAGTTTCTAATCAAATGGCAAAATCAACAGCTCAAACACATCAAACGAATGGATAGCAACTGTCATATTCCTGACTTGGTACAGGCATTTTCTTATGTAGAAAATGGTGGATTAAACCTGGTTTTATAGCTAGCTAAACCTCTCACTTGTATGACATTTGCATGCAATTCCATCATATTGACAACGATGTGTGAACAAAACAAATAGACACAATAGGTAAAAATGTCAACAATTGGGGTACAGTAGTAAACATTGTGTTATAATCTTAATCACTATAAAAACAAATAAATATGTAACAAAGAAACACAAAAAGGCATATAGGCAAAGCGCATTAGCAAAAATGAAAGACAAGAATACAAAAATTACAATAACACAATGACGGGATGTACAAGTTCAGAGCCACGTCATATGTATCAAAGAAACACAAAAAAGCATATAGACAAAGCACATTAGCAACAATGAAATACATGAATACCTAATTTTACCATAGCACAATAACACAATGACGGGATGTATAAGTACAGAGCCACGTCATATTTAACAAAGAAACACAAAAAGGCATATAGACAATGCACATTAGCAAAAATGGAAGACAAGAATACAAAAATTTACCATAGCACAATAACGGGATGTATAAGTACAGTTTTACAAAGTCTGAGTAGCAGCTGCAAGCTCTTGAATACCGAATAAGTTGGGAAATGTATATCCCATATGCAGGTGAAGTTGGTATATTGCTACTAAGGTGGGGGAAATTGATAATTTCAAAATTAAAATCGTTTCCTTTGTCATGGATTCTGGTACTGAGATGACCGTGTATGTCAAATTCGAGGTAAAAGTCTAAAAATGAGGTGGAGGAAGCAGTGTCTGTTGTTTCTTTAATTTTTAGTTCTGGGGGATATATTAATGGAACCCAATCAGAAAAGTTAATGGAAAGAACATCATCCATATATCTGAATGTGAAATTAAATTACCTGGCTTCTTCGATCTTCTTGTTTTTGACAAGTGTCTGAAGGAACTCCTACTCATATGAAAATAAAAAGAGATCGGCAAGAAGAGGCACACAGTTCGTTCCCATAGGAATGTCGACAATTTGTTGAAAAAGTCTACCTCCAAATTCAACAAATATGTTGTCAATAAGAAACTCCAGCATACTGATCACTTGTTCCTCTGTGTGGAATGTTTTACCAGAGTGCGTATATTGTGCCAAAATGTTCAGTTGTTCTTAAGAGAAGGTGAATTCATAATCAAAATCTAATAAATAAGCTAGTCAAACTATAGTTCTGTATGTTCTAATGTTGATGTCAGATTTTAGTTTGATGTAAATGTACTATATCCACTGTCATTTTGCTTGACGTTGAAAAAAACATCTTCCTAGTCCGCCATTGTTGTAAGGAACGCTCATGACGTCATTTGAAAGAGGCCAAATAAACCGGCTATTTTCTAGTGGCAGAAATGACCGATTATTTGACCCAGGTAGAAAACTTATCCTGATAAATCGGTGGTTATTACGTATCATACGGTATGGAAAACCAAACGTTTTCGTAACAAATATTTCATACATGTAAGAGTCTCTTGCATGTAAAATAAGGATTTACTATTGATGAGTAATTCTTTTATATCGTTATAGATGTATATTATCATTGTTCTTATTTGTTATCTATAGTTAGGTCGTGTGGTCTTCTCAATGTTCCGCGTAGTTTCAAGAGTAACACGAATTACTTACTAGGACAGACAGTAACTGTTGAGAGTTGTAGACAGGGATACTTACAGGGTGATGACACAACATATAGATGTTCTGCAACAAGTGAAACTACTCAGACATGGTCTCCTTCGATTACTGCAAAATGTTCAGGTATATATTAATAATTAAACGTGATCTGTAATCTGTACACTTTTCCTTTGATCCTATTCTTAATATCTTTTAGATAAAAAAGGATAGGCTCTGATACTCGAAAATATTAGACAATAACGTCACGTAACAATGCAGCAACGTCATTCATTGAACCGAACAACTACTACAACGCTTTGTACGCGTAAAATAGTTCTACTAACTTCTTCTTGTATTTCCATATTCTAGATAAAAAAAAACATCTAGTTAAGACAAATTGCAAATAAAAAGAATCATGACAATCTTTATATTAAAACTGATTTCATCACTTAGTCCTAGTGTTTCAAATTTCCTCCGTTTTGTCGTTCCCATGATTTTTTTGTTCTGTATGTAATATTTTAGAACATCAAACGGTATTGAACTGTTGACTGTAGTTTATATTGAAAAATGATGGTAACAATTAAGGACTCGATTCGGCCTTGAAGGATTAACTAGATATGTAACAGCCAAAGATCACAACCAATTGAAAATTATTTGATGCCATAAGAATTATAAATAGCAACCTCTGACGTTTACGATTTTGTGTGGCAGTATGAGAAATGCCATACTTAGTTCAATTTCAAAAAAAAAATATTGATGGTCGTAAGTTGCGTTGCGTTTCTAAATTGTAATAATGTGCTCATTTAATTTGTTACTTAATTTTTACATGTATGTATGATTTTGATTGGGTCTTTCATGCCCCTGTTCCATTGAAAATGAATGAACTGTATCATTATATTACAGATACAGTTGAGACGGCCGACACTGGTATGATAGTGGGTATTATTGTTGCAGTTCTTGTTTTCATTATTATCCTTGCTATTATTGTTGTTGTAGTCAAAAGGCGTAAGAACAGGAAGTAAGTCATCTATTCATTTTGTAATGAACAATACAGATATTTTTATCATCATATGACTACAACTATAACATGTATGTTTTACTATTAGCCATTTCGTAGACTAAAAGATCAGAAATAAAGAGGTTTGTTATTGGCAGAATTTGTCAAAATGTGACATCCTAATTACATAATTAATATACCGAACTCTAAGGTAAATTAAAAAGGGGAAGTCTATAGAGACTGACAAAATCAAACGTTAGATTTTTTTCAACCAACGGAATAAAGGAAAACAACTGTCATAATCCTGACTTGGTACAGGCATTTTCCAAAAACAAAATGGTTGGTTAAACCTGGTTTTATAGCTAGTTAGTCCTCCCGCTCATATGACAGTAGTTCTATAATATTGACAAAACTGGATGAGTAACCCAAACAGACATAATCGTTTAATGTGACTATTATTAGGATCCAGCAGCTATAACTGTGTAACCAGACATCACAGCCAAACAACTAACTGACTAAAAAATTCAAACAAACATACAAGTAATTTTTACAAAGAATTCGAAAGTATTTTTAATAACTATAACCCATAAATGAAATTGTGGCCAAAAAACGGCAAAATATCAGGCATTGATCGTCCATCGATTAATCACTTCCTGTTTTACAAATACTTATAGCGGAGTATATTTAGTATGAATTGTGTTTGTTTGCCTTTTGGTTGCTGTTTCGTTAAAAACAAACAAAACAAAACTGAGAATCACAAAAAGGCATTTCAAAACCCAGCAGAGCCCCGACTCCGGTTGCGGGATTTTCTCGCTACTTTTAAGACCCATTGGTGGCCTTGTGCTGTTTTCTGCTTTTTGGTCGGGCTGTTATCTGTTTGACACATTCTCCATTTCCATTCTCTATTCCATGAGATTAAAAGTTAAAAAATTGACACTGAAGAGAAAAACAAATACACAATGAATCACATGAGAGAAAAATGCATAGTTAAAATTAAACGTTGCACACTGAGTTCAAAATATTGGAAAACAAAGTTATCTAATTGCTTGATTAAAGCCTCTGATGAGTCTTCTGTTGACAAAACACGCATCTTTCTTACTATTTTCTGGATATGATTTCTTAGATGACTTTATTGTTTTCCTCATACAGCAAATAATTAAACAGCAATCAAAGATAGAATGAGCTATATACATAATGCTGGTATCTTTGATGATTTTATGGTTTTCCCATATGTCAAACCCTGAAACACCAACAATAGATAGAATAGATTCAACAATAAAACTATAAAATCGACAAAAGAAAATAAATGTGACATCTATCTTATTATTAAACGAAAGGATCATCTATAGGCGTTTGTTATGTTGTTGTTTTACCCACCCCTAGCAACTCCTTTCCGAATTCCTTATTATTTGTAAATCATTAGAATATGGACCTGTCTGAACGAATTTATACATGTCCTCTTGGCCATTTATTTTTGCAGTGATGAAAAGAAGATTTGAACATTTAGGGGAAAACATGTGATTAGTATTAAAGTTAATTTAAAGTTCCAGAATCCTTAACATTTGAATAGACATAAACAAATCTAATTCTTTTATCACCACGATGACGACGCGGTCTAGTGTTTGACCGGAAAATGGCGACAGCCACGGAAATTCACTTGTTAAAACATAAGATTGTGTTATATAGAATGCAATACCGAATTTAAAAGAATGGGTACCTTTCTTTTCATCATATATCTAAAAAAAAAAATTCCATCCTTAGGTATGATTCCAGTAAGGGACAGTATGGGGCTCCTAAAGAGGAGGAAACTGTAAGTTATAGTCGACCACATAAACCAAGTACAGAACTAACTGGTGAGGGAGAGAAAAAACGAGCTAGTCAAGAAGACAGCTTATAGAGATAGGAACAATTATTTTGTATATTTTATCATTATGCTTAATGAATGAATGAATGAATGAATGAACTACTGAATGCATGAATGGAGCGAAAGAGTATAACAGCTTTTATATATGCATGTCTTTAAATGTTAAATTGCTTAAATGTTGTTAACAATGGTTTGCTTTCAAGGTGTAATACCACCAAATCATAGTACGTCACATCCGGTTGCATACGAAAAAGGGTCGAAAAAAAATATTCCCTTGAATTTGACAGTTGTAGGTAATAAATCCTACATTTCATTGCAGTAAAAAATTTCTTGGTCACAAACGTATATCTTGGGTATTTCAAAGCACCATTATTTTTTTTTATTTGGTTTTTCTTTTGAATATTTTGGAAATGGTTATTTTCTTATATGCAATGAAATGTTATGTGAAATTTTGTCCATAGCACTGGACAGGATTAAACTTTACTCATGCCAAGTATTTCTTTATTTGAAACAAAAATAAATTCTGCACAATTTTTTGAAAAGTGCAAATATAACAAAGACTAATAGGGGGAAATCAATGGTGGTATTACACTTCAAGATTATGATGAAACAATGTTCGATGTATGCTAAAACTCAATGTGTAAGCGTTAGTTCGTCAAACTTATCATTTATTTAGTAGTATAGAAAATACATGCACACAATGTCTTCTCAAACGAAAGCATTTATGTAAAATCATATATTATTGTAAATGTCAATTACGGATCTTCAAAAACGAACGTTGATAAAATAAACACTTGATATTTACAATACAGTGTATTACTTACCCTTTAATAAATCTTCTTTTCGTTTGATGTATTTGAAAACTTGAATTGTTAATTGTCAACAATAATTTCTTCTCTTTAGGATTATTTCTCTCCTTATCTTTTATTATATGATTTATACTTGTTAATATCAATAAAACTTTATCGAATTTTAGCTTTGAGTGTGCCTGAATATTCTCCAGTACAATAAGTCATACTGCACTTCCTTATAAATGTTGACACACACTTCATTTTTATTTTGTTTATCATTTCATGTTGTTTTTATACTTTCATGTAGCTAGTGTATTATACTCTTAAAATGCAAAATAGTTTACAATTATATTTTTCCGATCCTTTTAATTGCAATAATTTGAAAAAAAGACAAGTATTTTCTACCTCAATAGCATGTACTTTTATGTGTTAAGAACAGATTTACGGTTATTTAATATTTTTGAGGCTCAATGATTGTTTTAGAGAAGAAGTTTTAAACCTGAAATAGGTTGCAAATTAATACTTTTATCGAGAAAGGCAGCATTGGTGACGAATTTGTATCAAACACTTTTTTCTATGTTGGTCAAACATTTAATGTAATCATGATAATACATCATTGCACCAAGGATCCATTGATTAAAATATTCAACCAAACTTAATTAAACATACACTACTTGCCACCATCATGTAGCCAACTAACAAAGCTTTTTTTTCTTAATATCATATTTTCACTATTATTGTATTGTACATTGATCAAATTTATTTTTCATTTTACTTTTAACATTTTTATCTGTTTCATTATATGTAAGGACAATTATGTATAACCATACTTAGAATTATAACGTACATTAAATCTATGTACACCATTTGAGACTAGGGAATGTAATCTTATATTATATGAACATATTTTGTATACATTATTATAAAATTTTCATATAAAAAGATAAAGAAAGAAATAAAAAATTACAACTCTATCCTTACACTTTTATTTAAATCTCTCTTTACAAAATGTTTGCACTCCAGTGAACATTTTGATACTAAATTGAAACATATGATTTAATGTATATCGATCATATGAGTTAGTCATTCGACATTAGTTCTGGGTGTATTATAAATTTTAAAAAATGAATAAAGTAAACATACTAACGGCATGTTGTAACCTTCACAAGTCAGATAAGATAAAGTGAAGGTAGATAATTCTTAAGCTTCGATATCTTTATATCTTAGTTCGCAGATTACAAATGGTCATGATTATATATCAAAAACATTTTGAATTTTGAATTTAATTCAAGCTGATTTAGTATTATATTAATAAAAATTATAAAAAAGCATCAAGCATTTAAAGCTAAATGTATGAAATGTAAAAGTACAACCGATTTTAAATCAGTCTGATTTTCATAATTTTACAGCAAAATATCTACATATCTAAAATCTACTCAGAAATATACATTTTAACAAATTTTGATCAGTCTTGAATTAAATGTTTTTCGTAAGATAAAAAAAAAAAAAAACATTCAAACACTTTCCCGCTTAAAAACATATATGTCTGAATCAACGTTTGAATTTATCACATTCCAAGTGAAGTGACCAATCTGTTATCACTAACTAAACAGATAGGACTATCTAATTCTTCTATCACCACGATGACGACGCGGTCTAGTGTTTGACCGGAAAATGGCGACAGCCACGGTTATTCAAATTTATTTGACTTGGATTGTTTTTGCATTTGTTTTATTCTTATCATGTAAGTTTATTGTGAATATTATATTTTCTCGTTCTGCAAAGGTGTATGTCATATTTTAAAAGGCTACAGAAATATTATAATATGTAAATAAACTCATCATATATATATATATATGTTTACGAATACCAGCATGTCGCCACTTTAGTTGTGCATGGTTTGTTTTTACGGTACGTGTTAAGAAGGATGCACTTATAATGCAAAGAAATGTTGCATTCCAACTGGCAGTGCATAATACAGATACAAATAAAAAAGAAACATTGATATAATTATTTTACAATTAATATCAATTCTCAGGTTATTAATGAAGAGAAAAGTATGAATGTTTCCAATTCGCATAAAATCCTAAAATTGTATTTCAAATTCATTATCCGTTTGGTATTTATCGCCTCTTTTTAATTATGCGAATAATGGATACTCGTAAATTTCCAACAATAAACGACCATAAAAAGGTGGCAATCAAACATCCTCAGTCGAATTAGTTCAGACATCATTGCCAAAATTAAACACAGACCAAAGACAACGAAGTTAATAAAACGCTACACAGAAAACTAGATTGAACTAGCTGTGTAAAGTACTTTCCTCCATACATTATTTTTCTTTCCTTCTTCTCCCAACTTTTTCCTTCTTATTCCTAATATACTTCTATGAATAGTGTGATTTAACTTCTATAGATAGTTGGGATTCACCATATTTTACCTGGGAGGGGAGGAGGTGGTCGGTTTGAAAATTCGGTCTTGATATTATTTGATCATCCAATAAAGTTCCTCGGAATTTTTTATCCCCTTTACCTTTTTAAATCCATTTTTTTCCGATAATGGATATGACGACTTTTAAAAAGTTTATAAATCCAAAACGACAAAGAGTATAACCAAAGTTGGCAAAGAATCAGAGTTTTGCATGAGGGAGACATATTCTTTAATTTAAAATATTGGTTGCTTAACATCCAGTGGCAAATATTTCATGCATGTTCAGGACGAGATCACATTAACCATTAATACGATACGTAGGTCCTATGGTGAGGATCGTCTAGGTTGAAGGTCGGGAAATTTGGACTGCCACCGGAAAATGAGGGTATATTGGATATGGACTGACATTTAGCTTTGTAACATGCCACCTACAGACCCTTCAAAGAGTTGTTGCAGGGGTTCCTATAATGTAGAGAGCGTGGCACTAGCTGTACACGAGGCATTGTATTTTATGTTCCCATTCTGAAAGGACGTGACTGCGAACTTATACATCCCGCTCAGCCAGAGAGAAGGTAAAATTTGGCAAGGCTTTTAATGCTGGTCGAAAGAACACCAAAAGTGACCATATTTCTATTCCCCGGTCACCCTTGATGTTCTTTCTGTTCAAATAAAAATACAATGTATATTGGTATAGTAAATAAAGCATTGTTTATTATGAAATACTTTTTACACGAAACAAGGAAATGCATGTCACAGTATTGCTCCGGTGTGACTTGAATGATTTACTTAAGCTGTCATTTTTAAGCATTTCTTTATTCTTTAAAATAAAGATTGCCTGAGACGATTGTATCTTGCCCTCATCGAGCTGGCGTTTTCTGCCTGTCGTATTAACCCTTATATTAATGGATTGCCCGTCTTGTTGATAAATGACTGGATACACTTCATAGAGGAATGCTAAAACAGGATATGACATTATACAAATATTTTGAATTATCCTATTATATTAAATGAACACTTTTACATATTAAACAATTTTCTATCTTTTCCCATTTCTCCTATTTCACCTTGTGAACAAAATATTCCCCTTTTTATATACAGGAAGGAAATGACCCACCCCACCCCTCCTACATTTTGATCCCCTTTCCCTCCTACACACCCAGGTAAACAAATATGGATAAGTCCTTATAAGTGAATATTTTATGCTATTCATCATATCCTCTTTTTACCTATTTTCCTACATTTTTGTATTTTCAAATATTTTGACCTCGAGCATCCATGAAGAGACATTAATTGTCGAAATACGCGCGCATCTGGTGCAGAAAAATTGGTATCGTTAATGTTATTACTATATGTACCACTGGATTGATACCTTTGCTGGTGGACTGTTAGTCCCCAAGGGTATCACTAGCCCAGTAGCCAGTATTTCGGTACTGGCATGAAAGAATGGATATTGTGTTATAAACATTTGCTGTTTCCAAATGTTTGCAATTATTATAAATTAAACCCCCACGGGTGACTGGGGATTAGAAATGGTCACTCGTGGTCTTCTTCCGACCGGCTGTAAAACTCTTGTCGAAGTGGGACGTCCGTTTGGCTGTGCGGGATGTATAAACACGCATCCACGTCCAATCAGAATGGGGACATTAAATCCGATGCCTCGTGTTAAGATATTGTCACGCTCTATGCACAATAAGAACCCTTGCAGCAATTCTGTGAAGGCTCCGTAGGTGACCTGTTGCAAAACAAAATTACTGTCCCTATTCAATATACCCTAATTTTCTAGTTGCAATCCAAATTTCGTGATCTTCATCCCGGCCTGCCCCTATTACAGCACCTACCTATTGTATTTATTGTTAACTTGTTCTTGTCCTGAACATGGCTGATGTATTTGCCACTGGATGTTAAGCAATCAATATTCTTACTTAGGCTATATCTCCCTCACGCAAAGCTCTGAATCTTTGCCCGGCTTTGGTTATACTTTTTGTCGTATTTGGTTTATAAACTCTTCATTTTTTTAAAAAGTGTTTGGATTTTCAAATAAATGGCCTTGAGCATTACTACAGAGACATTGATTGTCGGAATGCGTATCTGGTGCAGAAAAAATTGTATCGTAAATGTTATTCAACAATTCATGCTGATCGACCCACTGTGCGGAACGTACATTTTAATATACGGCTAATTTGTTCTCGTCCTTAAGGATGTACACCTCTGAGGAGCCAAACATTTCTAGAATTAAATTTGTTTTCTTATCCTGATATTTGGGTTTATATGACTGTAGGAAAGTAATTCATATGGTGGTGCACTTCTTTTTTTGTTACGGACACTTGAAAGTACTCCATTTTTAATGATTTTCCCATTTTTCATCAATTTTTACCCATTTTTGGGCTATTATCATGAAAAAAATCTCAGTTTTACAATTAAACTCTTTTTCATACTTTCACTAAAGATGAAGTGGACCAATCTGAATTAATTTAACTTAAAAAAAGGTTGGTGTTAATATTAGAAAATTATGTTGCTTTTTCGTGTCAAATTGACAATGCTGTCAATTTTGTAAATTTGGGATTTTTCTCTTTTTCTTTAGAACAAAAAGCATATTATTTCAACATCTTTATTATTGAAAAAATACATATCTAAGAATTTTGAAAGAAAAAACTGATATGGGATGTACATACTTTTGGTAAAATCATTTCATTGTACCCCTCATCTATTTTCTCAACATTTTGGCTGATGACACTGACCGGATTGGTTATAAAATTTGAAAATCGTATTACTCAAAAACTACTTATTGTAAGTACACATTTTTTTCATAGAGTTTAGTTTGATTATAATATTTTTTAAATTCATTGATATTTCCACTTGTATCACATGTTTTGGAAATAATTCCCGAACGAGATTTCAACGAGACTAAAACATCAGAAGAATACATCCTTAATATGCATGAACTATTTGTCACTGGACGTTTATCAATAATGGTAGCAGACATCATGACATCGGATTCATAACTTGGACATTCTTAATGAGCTTCATTGCTTATAATGTTCATTCAATGTTTTCTAATCAGGTTCATTACTGGCACGTGGTGTCCTAGTGGGGTCATTAACGATGTAATTTCTAATCAGTTTCAATACTATCACGTTTTTAATTTGCAGGACTAGAATACTGATAAATGATAAGAATGGAATCGAATCATCTTGATGCAATTTCATCACTTGAATTTTCTTAAGCTTAAGTTGTTTAAACACATTCTCTTTTATTATCTTAATAATCATTAAATTAGAATTAGACTTGTATCCTAAGGTGAGCAAGTATGGGGGAGTTATGAGAGATCATGGTCTACCCCAGTTATCTATAAATAGAAGTGTTTGTTTAGTAAGATGGATCAAAGTGTTATAAATCAATGATCCGTTATGGGTGGTTATCAGTCAGACATTGTAATCTGTTGATAGTCGGATAAGACGTGTCAAAATATAACTATTATACACACAATGGCTGGCATTTCATACTGGTACTTTTCTGAAGACACATGTGTTTATTAATATTTTGTTTTATAAAACCCTAATTTATCACAATGCATGTATACCTGACAACACCCAATATAAAAAATTTACATACAGATATAAAACCAATTTATGCACTTAATTAATATCGCGAAGAGTTATAACTTTCCTTGTACAAACAATGCAACAATTCCTATACAACTGTGGCATAATTTGGGTTCATTTTTCGTCCAAAGCAAACATTTTCTTTCAAAACCATTTCGAATGAAAAAGATTTTTTACAATGTCTTTTCACACTTGATTTTAAACTACTGCTATCGAAAGTAATAATAAGATACTCATTCATTTCCGGGTTTATGTTAATGTAAGAATTAGTATATATGTTGTGTACAAGATGTAAGTTTGTACAAATTATAATTTGTACAGGGTTTTTGTACAAGTTATAAGTTTTTTGACACATACCTTCTTGCACCAGGTGATAAAAGTTTATCTTCTAGAATGTATCAGTTTAATGTCTTAAATTCAAATTTATATACTTCAACCTAACATTTAGTGCTATTCTCTTTGTCTTCAAACTGGAAATGAGGATACCTGAATGGTTTAAATTCTAATTTTATTTTTCTCCTTATACCAAAATCATATCCATAAAAAGTCTTTTTGTGTTCTTATAATGTTTTTGTATTAATACTCAGTATTAGACTGTATCATGTAGTTGTGGAAATGTGACAGAAATATGCGAAACAAAAGACTGTGTGCTTGCATCATCCATTTGTATGAAGTGGATTATAAAAAACTGATAACTTGTACAAAAAATCTGTACAAATTATAATTTGTACAACATTACAACTTGTACACAACATATACATGAAATCCAAGTCGCTATTGTAAATTAATTGTCCCATTGGCAATCATACCACATCTCCTTTATTCTACAGAGTCACAAAAAAAGATTTATCAGCACAATGCATGCAATTGATTGATTGATTGTTTTTAGCTTACCCTCCAGTGGCAAATATTTCATGCACATTTAGGACGAATAAACACAGTAATTTTAATCTTATAGGTACAAAATGTACGCTATCCAAATTCGATTGATTGGGATGAAATTCGTGATATGAGGACTTCCGCCGGAAAAAGAGGGTATATCTAATTTAGACAGAATTTTGCATAGTATAAAAATGGCTATAAACTTTTTCTTACAAGATATTAATAATTCAAAGTATACTATACCGTTTCAGTCCTGAACTCGATTTTTAAACTGTAACTATCGATAGGAAAAGTTAGAAATTCCTTTCCGGTTTTATGTAATACAAGCAGGTAAAATATAAGAATAAATTATTGATATACTCATTAGCATTATATAGAGTTTAATTAATACAATTAATACATTTGCGTATGAAAATCGCTATAAACTTTGTCTTAACTGCTGCTTTCCAGTTAAATTACGAGTTACACATTTCAAGTTATGTATCAACACTAAAACTGTTCTAGATGTTTGGTACCGATGTGATTTGATTTAAGCCTTTACGACTGATTTGTATGGTTTGATCTTATGTTGTGCTATTACATCACTGTCATTAGGCGTTAGGCATTAGGCGCTCACAAACATATTTTATCAAACCACATTCTTTATATGCTTGTACCATGCCAAGTCCGAAGCAATTTCAATGAGTGTCGTTGAAAACTGTTTGCCATGCTTGTTCTTTGTTAATTGTTTTATCACAAGGAAGGCCGTTGGTTTTATCTTTTGATTTTTTTCCCATTTTGCCATGCTGGGGCCTTTTAAATCTTACTATTCGATTTTTGGTTTGCTGCTCATTGTTGATGGTCGTGCGGTGACCTGTAATTATCCTCGTCCTTTGGTCTCTTGTGGGTAGTTGTATCATTGGCAATCACATCACATCGCCTTATTTTTTACGTAAAGATAAAAACGTTTAACTATTTTGGGGTTGACGGACAGATACATTGGCAATACAACATATGAGTTTATCAACTACTACAATGTACTAGTGGAGTGACAAAAGACGCTATCAACTTAATATGTTTAAACTTTATGCACCATCTCCGCAATCTACGACTCGGTACAAAATAATGCTTAGGTACTAGAATTCCATAACATTGAGTCATGATTTAGCCTGCAGATAGGGTGATTTATTATTTTTATTAAATCTCACTTGTCACTGCACTTTTCAGCAGAATTAAAAGGAGCGGATAAATATAGATTCTACCGATGCATCGTGTGTGATACGACATTTCTCCACTCGAGACAGTTAAATTTTCAAATTTAATACTCGAGGCTCGCAGAGTGTTTTAAATATCTAAGATTTAGATCTCTAACTGTCGAGAGTTGGGAAATATCGTATGCACGATTAGAGTGATCCATTTTTGTCTCATTGGTTCAGTGAATTTTACCTAGCTGGTCTATTTCAATTGGTCCTGCTTGTAATTTCTACTCAGTAAAGTTTTCCTTTCAAATCATTATATTCGTATGGTCATTATTCCAATCAGTTTTCTCTAAACAGGTCATATTTAACTGTCTCGAGTGGAGAAATGTCGTATCACTCTCGATGCATTAAAACACGAGGCTCGCAGAACGTTTTAAATATTTAAAATTAAACTGTCTAGATGCTGATCTAAGCCTAATAAATGTTTTACATAATTTTATATTGTTTGAAATTTGCCAAAGAGATTTAAAAGATAGAAGAGTAATTTCGTATCGCACAAGATTTTGTTGTAAAATATGTTTCTCTAATAAATTTTAGACGATATGCAGACAAACTTAATCCTTTTTTTTCCAATGGTCTTCAAAAAGATGTGCTCTTTCTTTGAAATGTCATTAAGCATGGTCGCCTTTTTTTCGTGATGTCACATTAGGAAATTTAGAGGAAAGCAAGAAAATTTGACGCTATCATTGAATTTTGACCAATGAAGAAGTTAGAACTGGTATTAAACGAACCACACATTGATTCAATAAAAATAATCAACAGGTCGGGAAAAGAATATATCGGCTTAGAATTAGAGAAACAAATATCACGAGTTAAAGTCAAATGTATTTCGTTGATGCCAATATTACTTCTATTGCAGTTTCTAAAGGCGAAGGAGAAATATTTCCACAAACTGGACAACACGTGACTAGAAATGAAGACAACACTAATCACGAAGTCACACTTCCGTCTAACATCAAGTTTCCGTTCATGGGAACAATCTACAAAAAACTCTATGTATGTTTCATTACTTTACCATTTTTAAAGATATATGTACCTTTACGGTAAATACGGTAAATATGATTTTTCTTATTCTGCCATAGTAGGAACATGTATTGAAACGTTTTGGACGGAGATAACAAAATATTGCATACTCTGATTTTTTCGAAAAGAAACCATCTTTTTTAAGAGATAATTTCAGAGGCTATGGCAGGATGTTTGGTATTATTCCTCCAAAAAGACGTACAAAGACAAACAATAACGAACATCACATGGTCAAGATAGCCTGATGTGGTACTGTCACGTGGTTAAGTAAAACATTTCACCATGCACCCAAACCTATCCTTTTTGCCTATATAAGCCATATGTCGTAAAAGTAAAATACACAATTTTTATGGAGCATGGCTTTTAAAAGATCGGACTGTAAAACAAATTTGAAAGTACAGCACATCCCTGTTTTTTAATTAGCCTTTATATGTAGAAATATGTGACAAAGGTCTGATGAAATTAAAAGCTGGTATTGAATTTTAATTAAATAATTATAAATATCTTTATGATTCCCCCCTAAAAGAGTACCATACGCAAGAAATTTATTATTTTGGGACACTATTCGGCATATTTTGTCATTATGAACACGAGCATAAAAAAAGCTACACCAAAGATCAATTATCAGTATGTTGGTGTTTCTCAATGACAACATATTTGATGAATTTGGAGGTAAAATTTTCCAGTTCGTTGTCAGCATTCCTACGGGAACCTCCTGTGTGCCTCTCCGTGACGATCTTTTCTTATTTTCTTATTTTCATAGAAGTTGGCGTTCCATCAGACAATTATAAACAACCAGATGATCAAAGAAGCGAGACAATTAATTTCACGTACAGGTTTTAATACTGTATTTTGATGATGTTCTTTCCATTAACAATCCAGTTTTTTTTCTGATTGGGTACCACCTATATATCGTCCTAAACTAGACATTAAAACAAACACAAATACAGTTTCCTTCGCTACATGTTTAGACATATACATTTTTACCTCGAATTTGACTACAGCGGTCATCTCAGTACCAGAATCTACGACAAATGAGACGATTAAAACTTTGAAATTGAAATTTTCCTCACCAAAGCAGCAACTTTTCCTATTTCACCCGCTCATAGAGTATACATTTCTCACTTCATACGATATTCATGAGCTTGCAGCTGCTACTCAGACTTTGTAAAACGCCATCGGTGTCTGGGCAAAAAAAAAGTGAGCCAGGGTTTTGTCAGAGAACTTATTGTCCTTTTTCAAAAAAAAATATCATCGGAAAGTACCAAGACCTAAAAGATAAATATTCAGTGTCTACTTCACAATTATTAGAGTTCTGAGTTATAGATTCTAGGTGCTGACATTGTGTATCATTATGTTTTCTTTACGATTACCCCTTTAGTTATATTCATTTTGGTCGTATGACCCTTGATTTGGCTCGGTATTTGTGGATCCAGCTTTCGTGTTTTTGGCTTTGGGCGTTCTTGATACGGGTGCCTCCAGCGTACCGGTGTGATTCTGACGTATGAGGTTTTCGTAGTGTTGTTATCATTTTGCATATCCTCGTAATTATATTTCACTTAGTTTGTACTTTATTGTCAAAGTGTATGTGTATGTAGCCTTTTAGCCTTTTAGCCTTTTCAACTTTTTTGATTCGATCGAGCGCCACTGGTGAGTTTTTTGTTGAGGAAACGCGCGTCTGAATCCTACTTATAATAGACGTGCAAACGAAAACAACAAACATAATTAAGAACAACATATAGTCCAGAAAGTCTGACTTGGTACATGAACGAAATGTGATTGGGTTCAACATGTTTTACGTGCGAACCTCCACCTTCTGCCAATCATTAAAAAATTTAAATACACAATATATAGTGCTAGTTTATACTTTGTAACCGGATAAACATTGAATTGAATTTGCTTATATTATTTAATGTTATGTATATGTGCAGGTATCTAAGGATGGTCTTGTTGGATTTACTCCAGGGACTCTACATCAAACAGAAATATTTACTGACACTCTTACCCAAGGTGACCCGGCTTTTGTTGCTCCATATTATTTTCCTGCACAGGACATTGGTTCTAACTTGAATGGCAAGCCATACACTGGTCAAGTTTTGTATAGAGAAGGATCTGATGTTCCGCTAGGGGAATTATCAAACTACTCCTCTATCATCCAGGAATCTATGGTTGGGTTAGAATACCAGTTCGAGGCTTCATATGCTTTGGTGGTCACGTGGAAGGAAGTCATTTCTAAAACGAACGTTTTGAACAGTTGTAATCCATGCAAGGTAATTCATATCTTAACCTATATGTGCAACACTTCTTATACTAACAAGAAAAATGAATAATATGCGAGGTTACAACTCCGGCTTTGTTTCCAACTTTATATATGTTTTGGCAAGGGAAAATTTTCGCAGATAGAACAAATATAAAAGTAAATTGAACTTATATGATTTATTGTCAGGATATGACAGTAATTTTGATTTTTAAGTGCATCACACAATTTAATGGTAAAGTTGGGTTGCACAATGCTAGATATCGAATGAAAATTAGGTGTTCAACAAAATATGCTTTTCCAATAGGTTTGCGTTGACAGGAAACACAGTTGGTTTTATTCAGAAAAGGTAAAAGAAAAAAGAAAAGAGAAACGCAATAAAATCAATCTTTTCTGAAATAAATCGAAGCTAAGATCATTAACTATTTAGAAAAACGCCGGTTAAATGATGTTGTAGCTTTTTGATACTTCATTTAATTGTATGAAATATAATTGATATTTGCTTGTCTTTATATCTTAAAACCAATTGACCAATTTCGAGTTCTTTGTTATGAATGATTTACACCCGTTGACCCGAGGTCAATCGGCGTAAATAACGTCATTGAACAATCCATTCTCACTGTGACGTAATAACATTAAGCATTGTGACAATGGATATTAACGGGAAATTCACGAATTTGAATTTTTAAGTCGTCTTTACACTGTATTTTTTCCAAAGTATAAAACTGGCAGTGCATCTTATGTTATATTATTGAGGATGTAGTTTGTATGCAACGGATCGATTTACGTTTCAGAATAATACATTCCAATTGGCAATGTTGACCGATGGTACTTCGAGTTTCGCTATATTTAATTATGTGAAAATGGATATTACAACAGACCGTTTTACTCAGGTGAGATTTAACAACGATTAACTGTAGAGTCTATATATATATATAAAAAATATCTCGACTCCAAACGTTTAAATTTCACACTTCCGAGAAAGGAGAATATATCGCTCGAGACTCATTGATGGAAACTGTTTCTGTTATATTATGTACAATAAATAGAGAATATCATATGGCTTTTTCAATATCACATCCGTATCAACCCGAGACACCAATATAATCCCAAGAGCTCTGCTCGAGGGATTATATTGGTTGAGGGTTGATACGGTGTGTGATATTGAAAAAGCCATATCATATAAATATAGATTCTACCACTGCATCGAGTGTGATACGATATTTATCCACTCGAGACAGTTAAATTTTCAAATTTAAAAACGCGAGGCTCGCCGAGCGTTTTAAATATTTAAAATTTAACTGTCGAGAGTGGATAAATATCGTATTACACGAGATTTGGTGGTGGAATCTGTTTCTCTAATGATTTTCAAACAATACGCAGGCAAATTTATTCATTCTTTTCGAATGATCTGCAAAAAGATGTGCTCTTTCTATGTGACGTCATCAGGCATGGTCGCCTTTTTTCATGCCGTCACAATAGGAAATTCAGAGGAAAGCAAGAAAATTCGACGTCATAATCGGATTTCAACCAATGAAGAACTGAGATCAAACGAACCACACGTTGATTAAATTTTTTTTATACAATGGGTGCAGAAAGGGATAAATTGACGAAGAATTAGAGAAACTTTACTATATACATATATCTCACGTAGATGTTTTTTTATGTGACATGACGTCAATCAGAAAAGGAGGTTTGAAATGACGTCATACAGATTATAGGTTTGACATGACGTCATACAGATTAGGGGTTTGATAAAGCCTTTGCAACCGTGACTGCAATCGATGACGTGACGTCATACAGATTAAAGGTGTGATACAGCCTTTGCAACCGTGCTGATATCGATATCATCACGGATGGCTGATACAGCACGCTTGCCAATGATTGTATTACATATACAATTTATCTGTATTTACTACTAAGTATATAATAAATGTAGATATGTAGGCAGATGTTAGCGTTCCTTTCAACGATCTGCAAAAATGTGTTATATTTATGACACATCGATGCATGGTTGCCTGTTGTTGTGACGTCAGCATAGCATAATAAGTTGACAAAAACAAAAAGTTGACATCATTATAGTTTTTTTTACAGGTGAAGAGCTGAGAAAAGGCAGACCAGTCTAGATTATTTAAATTCAAAACTTCAACCTAGAACTAAAATTGCCATGCTCGTCATCCGTTTTTTTTTCGCATAATTAGGCAATATTTGTTAATTATAGTTAGACTATTTACCTTTTTCACTCGCCAGGTGCTTCGGGAGTGGTCACCACTTTTTCTAAATCGATATTGTTTTTTTTTATTCTCGTAATCTGCTGACCTCCTGCACATTTTTGCACCTTATTTCTAGTAAATCATACAAATTAGGACATGTATCAACACAAAAAAGACTTACCTTTTCGTTTCTGTTGGTGGTTTGTATGTACAATCAATCAGCTATCCAGAATTTATAAAGTGTTAATCCTGGGTTACTTCAATTCCGTTCAATCAAGTCGATTACTGATGATAGAATTTTACGTCAAACGCATGCATTGTGTATCTCAAAATGCAAGGAATGAATCATGAAGTCCGATACGCTCGTAATGTTTACAGTAATATCTAGATAGTGAGTTATTTGAGTGCATTCCTGCTTTTGGATATTTTGAATGAATTCTTATAATTGCTAACCTTTCAAATGTTTTCAAACTTTTCTATGTAGTGTTTTAGAATGTTGTTTCTTTTTGTCTGTCTTACTATGATTCGGGTATTTTTGACTGCCTTTAAGTATTTTCTTTCTTTTGTAAAATAGTGTGATTTCTATACTTTTATCTTGTATTAATAGTAAGGGATTGAAAAGCGTGATGCTTTTTGTATGGTGTACATTTTTAATATTGATGACTGTAACAATTACTGAAAGAGTAAGAACATATTATAGAAGTACATCACACAATTTGATATTCTTTTGTAGTCTGGTTTTAATGCTGGTGAGGGACGGGGATATACAACTGCATTAAATGCTGACAAATTGAAATATAGCTGGAATACTTACGGCAGTGATTCGAAGGGGATGTATATCTTCAGAATAGATAGGGAAAAAATACAACACGGGGGATGCTCTCCCGAGACAAGAGGTAATATATATATATCTATAATTATATTACATTTTAATATAGCCTAGTTTGCCATGTGTTCTAGACCGCTGGATACAAAGCAGGCGGTTTTGTCACGATGTCACAGAAGCATGGGTTAAGACTTTTGAACACCGGTATACTACTGTTGCCTTTATTTAAATCCCTCTTAGGTAGGCACAACCTACGAAAATTTTGCAGATTTAACATTGTTGGGCTGAATTTAAAACACAGTATTTGTAATAAGTGGTGAAGCGTACGAAAAGTATAAATACGTCTAGTGTTGATTTTTGACATTGTGGTATACCTACCATATATTTAGCAAAGAAATCGCAGTCTTAAAACTTATTCGGAATGATCATTTTGTTTTCCTTACATATTATGTCAGTTTTCCGAAATAATTATTGACATATTTCAAACGGATTTCAATTTAGGAATGAAGATATTTGGGACTATTTGCTAACTCTTTTTGACAATTTACGGCCATCAGTTATAAAGTGGTTGGTATAAATACGTTAAGGTTGAAAACGTGCAATGATGCAATCAGGAAGTTTAGACATTAAGTCTTGATTGTTAAAATCGTGAAATACCTATTTATATGCTCCTGTTGTCAAAGTACAGAAAACATGCAATTTAACAACAAAGAAAAGTAAGGTGTGCTCAAAACATGTTCACTTTGGATAAAAAGTGATAAACATTTAAAAGAATAATTTCCTATTTTGAAATTTATATTACATATATTATCTTTGAAGGTGTCCTGAACATTTATCCAACATTTGCCGGAATGCTCGGTGGTAAAATGCTGGATATATCTGGTCCATGCATGCAATTAAACGAACTCAGAACACATGTTAAGTGTAGATTTGGAGAAGACAACAGTTTGGTCACATACGGTTATAAGATTAATTCAATGAAAGCACGATGTTCTGTACCAAGAATGTCCGTACGTGGATGGATATCTGTGGAAATGTCAGTCAACAACAAACAATATTCACACAAAACAAAAATATTGATAGGTATGTTATAAGAAAAACAATAACTGAATTGCAATAAAAATTGCTGTATTAACATTAATGATTTCATGAATTAGCAAAACTAAGAAAGTCTAGTGTCGCAGGGGATATTTGATAAAACGGACAAACGGACAAAATCATTGGAAACAAAAAGGAAAGTTGCGATTGACAATTAATCACTAAGTATTCACAATATGAGCCGCAAGTCTTCAATTTGATTAAAATACAAAAATTATTGAAAGTATGATTCTTTTGAAAACTATAGTAAAAATTAATTACACAAAATAGGTATTCTCACTACCAAAACTTCTAAAAAGTAACTAAGTTTACCAATCCAGGATAATCTGCATTAAAATATCCCAAATCGATATATTATATGTGTTTACAAACATTTTTGATATACATGTATATAAACGTATTCTAGAGAAGTAGATGGGAGTGGGGAAACAAAAGGAGTTGATTACATAAAACCGTTAACAAAGTAAAACAAAATAAACCAAACCTTACAATTCATACATTTAACTGGGAAAAGAGGGAAATGACACCAAGGAAGCAATAAGTCTAATAAAAAAGACAACACTACGGTATTAAATATAAACAACGAAAAGACGTGATGTCACAATCGACAAATGAAGTCAGAAATTTTGTAACCTCAATAATGCTGTGTACCAAGATTTGGTTAAATTTGGCCGAATAGTTTCAGAAAAGAAGATTTTTGTAAAAGATTAATAAAATTTACGAAAAATTGTTAAAAATTGACTATAAAGGGCAATAACTCCTAAAGGGGTGAATTGGCCATTTTGGTCATGTTGACTTATTTGTAGATCTTACTTTGCTGAACATTATTGCTGTTTACAGTTTATCTCTATTTTTATAATATTCAAGATAATAACAAAAAACTGCAAAATTTCCTTAAAATTACCAATTCAGGGGCAGCAACCTAACAACGGGTTGTCTGATTCATCTGAAAATTTCAGGCAGATAGATCTTAACCTGATGAATATTTTTACATCTGTCAGATTTGCTCTAAATGCTTTAGTTTCTGGGATATAAGCCAAAAACCACATTTTACCCTTATGTTCTATTTTTAGCCATGTCGGCCATCTTGACAAGCGGGGTCATCAGACATATTTTTTTAACTAGATACCCTAGTGATGATTGTGGTCAAGTTTGGTTAAATTTGGCCTGGTAGTTTCAGAGGAGAAGATTTTTGTAAAAGTTAACGGACGACGACGACGGACGACAGACGACGGACGCCAAGTGATGAGAACAGCTCACTTGGCTCTGTGGGCCAGGTGAGCTAAAAAGGACATAAAAAATAGCCGAATCCATCTAAGGTCAACTTTGCGAAAGTTTCTTTAATATAGGGATATTGTGGTTAATATAATGAAGCGTATATCTTTTCTGCTTACACATTAATCAGGTTTGCAATATATAATACATGTAGGTGTTTTGCTATTTGAATTTACACGGTTGATAGTACTCAACGTACATTTGTTTTACAGTTCATCCTGTCAGAGTATCAAAGGGGGAGAAATTACATTTACCATACATGGGAAAAGGACAGGGATGGAACGAGACACATACAACCCAGTTAACTTTGCAGTGGAACAGTTCTTTGCTGACAGATAATGAAAATGCAAATGTTAACATTTCTTTGATGGGTTATAAGGAAAATAATAATGGGGTGAGTCATGACATGTGTTGTCCTGATTTAATGAATTGAGATTACATTTGTGTACAAGATGTTGTCAAATCTCCTTAAAACTTCGTGAATTACATTAGTCCTATTGACTCCTTTGTTAAAGCTCGGGTTTTTTGTTTTTTTTTTTTTGAAAGTCCAAACATTTTTTTAATAAAAAAAAGTTTATACATTCTTAGAAAAGTTTAGTCAAATGTATTCCGATATCATATTCTAGCTGTTTAAATAGATTGTAGTTATGCATAAATCATATTATTGTTGATGATCGGACGGAGGCTTGTACTCCTGGATACCGAGATTTTTAGGTTTTTGTTTTATCTGTTCACATGATGACGAGCCCCTTAATAATGTTATTAACTTAACGAGATAACTTTCAAATGAAATTGTTTATACATGTAGCTCGAACGGGTTTCTTCTATCTTATCTAATCAGGCTATACTGTGTGTTTTGTTATCGCAATATATTTGTTATTTCAGTGAAATTTCAAGCACCTTTTCACCTAATGCCATATTTTTAAAATTTCAGATAACCTGGGCAAATCTAAGAAGTATAGGAACTGTTCGTGCATCAGCCGGGCAGTTTACATTTCAGACCAATGATATAAGTTGCATAGGTCCTGTTTGTGACGAGTATGAAATTGGAATTGTTATGGCTGAACTACAAGATATAAAACAAGCAACATTCTACAGGTATGAAGCAATTTTAGAGTACACTGTTCTAAACATAACTTTTTCAACAAAATAAATTAAGCCAAGTAGAAGGATTCTTTAATGAATTACAATACATTAAATATTCTGTTTCGATAGTCGATTGATTATGGAAATGACTCTGTCTTATCAATGTCGTTCTCGATGATCGACTGCTCTGTATTGTCATGGAAGTTGCAGCGGCTAAACAGAATCATTCTATGTGGTCGAGTGAGAAGGTAGTTCTGGCAGTTTTGATTTTTTGATATACGAATTAGTAAATGCGCTCGGTCTACATCTAAACTATGGTTAAAGGAAGTATGTAAGCCTACAAAGATCCGTCTTGTCCATTCCTTGCCCGATAACACATGTAACCATGACTTTATAAGAAATCATTGTAAGGCTTATATTACAATTTTGTATTTTTTTCAGATTTATAGTCAGTAAAGTAATAGCCCTAGGATTTTTTGTTAACAACGCCATGGTCATGAATCTGGGTGACAATTGGCCGAGCCAAAAATGTAAGACTTGGTATGATCAGGACAGACAGGATATGAGTTGGCTGAACAAAGTAGTGAGATGTCCTTGCACACTGGTACAAGCACTTAGTGATATAGGAAATTTTTTTGCTGATTTTGGATGTTACCTTTATGATAATAGAACCAGTAAATGTAGATACCACGAGGGATCTGTTCATTGTGTGCGATCTGTTCAACCTTCGTATGTATATAGTTTAATAGTTATAGTATGTTATGGAAGTCTCTCTACCAAATTAGAAAAAACTGAAATTAAGGAATGATCAATGTGTGATCCTCTTTTTGATAAACTCGTTTGTTGCTGCCTAATGTTTTTTTATCATTGAAAACAGACAACATCACTGACAAAAATAAAATGACAAAAATCCAAACAACAATAACACAGCATTACACAAAAAAACTATACGCCTAGCAAAATTCGGCGTCTACTAGCTTGATACACCGACATTTATATGAAAAAAATTCTTGAAACGTTTTCTTTGTTAAATTCTTTCCTTTTAATGTATAATAGAAATTAAACTTATTCTTTGGTTTTCCGTTAGACAAACCGGTGCTGGAAACCAGTGTTGTTATGATGCCGAAGGTAATCTCAGATATTCATCTGATAGCTTTCAAGGAAGTACACCAGATAGAAGCCATGCTGGAGGTGCTTATCCTTATGGTAAAACTGGACTTGTTCCCGACATGTCCCACTGGGTAAGAGATGTTGTTACGTTCTATCAATGCTGTTTGTGGAATGAAAACAGGGATTGTGATTATTACATGGATCAGCGGTCAACCCGAGACTGTAAAGGATATAATCCACCAACACCAGGTACAAAAATGTTAAAATATTATCACAATAATGAATAAAATTTACTAATCATTCCCCTGGTTTGTTATCAATCAAATAAATTGTCGTTTTGTTTTTTACATATACACTGAAAAACAGTGTTATCATTTCAAACCTTCACATATCCCATTTAAAAGAAGTAGAATATTAATATTTTATTATTCTTAATGCACATACTGATGTCTTAGGGTTAGATAAGATCTTTAATCCTTTGTTGTTGGATGTCTTACAGAAGGTCATCCATTTGTTTCCATAGAAGTAAGACAAAATATATCACTAGTGTGGAAGGGAAACCTTACCCTTCATTCTCGTTTTTTTTTCTCGTAAGGTTCGTGTTACTCAATTTTGTATTGAATATTATCAATTTTAACAATTTAATGCTGGCGAAATTCTGATATTTTAACGAAGACCAACACAAAATCAGAATTACAAGCAAGATATGCACCAGAATTATAAATGAAACCTTTATGGCCACATTATTGCAAATTATGTCAACTATAGCATTTTTGGCTGTAGATTTCTACTTCCATTTCAATGTTTTAGTGTCTATTTCTGATTACTCACATTGAATCCAATTGTAGATGAAACAAGTTCATGCTGAACCTGATGTAAAATAATACACCTAAAAACCACGTGTCATGTCTCTTGAAATAATTATTCTGTTTTTCTGTTTTCGACTTCACACTAACATCTATGACAGACGGGATGATGTCAACTTCCCTATTATCAATTTCCCATTTCGTAGCAGTAACATACCCTCTGCCCCATCGTATTATGTTCACATATCTCAATTGATACGTTATGCTTGTGCATGTTCACACTATACTGACTTCATATACAGGAGTGTGCTCCTTACGCAAAAACTGCTCCAACAGAGTTATGAAGAGGAAAGATTAAAAATGACAATTTTATGGACACCATCACGAATTGGTTGATATATACGATGTGTCTGTGTCTAAACTAACTAACGACATTTTTACCACGTCTTAGATTGTGGTTTACCATCTACACTGTCTGGTCTGCTAAGTACCGAACGTGACCTATTCCCGAATATGACTGTTTTGCCAAGTGTGAATTCGCATTGCTATACGACGTGTCTCGTTATTTATACATCCAAGATTCATGTATTTAGTTATGATGTTTCTTTTGTAAGTCTTGTCGGATATTGTGTTATGTCTTATCGTTTATGGTATACATTCTGTATTTTCGATACATTTTACATATGTCTTTTTTGTCAGTATAGTCGAGTTACTCGTAGTTCGTCTACAGTTTCATGTCGTTTGTTTTCAAGTGTATTTACTGTTTGTTCTTACATCATCTTGCTTTATATTACAGTTGTTTTGTTTTTATTTTCTGTATGTGTGTGGGGTTGAAGTTATGAGTCAGCTATTTTATTTGTGTGGTTTTGGGTTTAAAGCTACTATATGCACAGGATTTGTTTGTTTATACACAGTTTTGATTTATACGAAAAACCGACATGGTTAGAAAATTCAGATAGTGGCACCATAGTCCGAGATTGGTCTGACGTCCGACGGCTGTTTTGCCAGACAAAGTGGGGCCGTGGGACGTCAGAGCTCGTCCAATATCAAAAAGTGGATATTTGCCCGTCGAAAATAGATGCGCCGCTTCGTTGCTTCTGGAGCCGACTGACGGCCTTGGATCCATATAAATCGGGTCTCAATTTGTTTATTTTTTCATTTATCTTTTCATTTATGTAAGTTTCATCTACCTGCCACCCTTTATTTTCTCATATTTGGACAGTTTTCACGTCAGAGCAATCTCGGACTAACTAGTAGCACCATTACAAACACAGTTCCATTTTGATATTCTTGTCATGGTTGGAGGATACATAAAGTGGCACCATTGCAAACTGGGTCCCAATTTTATATTCTTTTGCGTGTCTACAGTGCGACAAGTCTGATCTATTTTTGGAAATTTGCCTGTAGTGGTGCGGACGTCACAAAAATACGTCACTTTATTTTGGCGTTGATACATTCGTGTGGCGCGCGGTTTGTGCTTCGTTTTGGGTGTACTGGTGTGCTGTCGTGGGTTTGTAGGAGGTGTCCGTTGTTGTTCTGTAGTGTGCATGTTGTAGTGTGCTATTATATTGTTTATTTGTGTATTTCTCTGTTCTGGGTGTTCTTGCGTTTGTTTGTGCTGTGTTCCTGTCACATGGTGTTGTCGTTTTGTCGGTGTTTTTTTACGTTGTCATATGGGCGGGAGGTTTGGCTAGCCGTAAAACCAGGTTTACCCACCATTTTTTCTTAAAATGGCCTGTACCAAGTCAGGAATATGGCAGTTGTTATCAAATAGTCCGTTTCTATGTATGTTGGCGTTTGTTTTGTTGCAGTTCAGTGTTTCTGTTGTTCTGTTGTTTTCCTCTTATAGATATTGTGTTTCCCTCGGTTTTAGTTTGTAACCCGAATATGTTTTCGCTTAATCGATTTATGACTATTGAACAGCGGTATACTACTGTTGCCTTTATTTTTACACTAAAAGGGGTGCTTCCTTTTCTGTATTTCAGTGAAAATTCTATCAGGAAAAAGTTAAATGTTATAATAGCGCAATTATTTGTTAACAATTTACCGGCACTTTTTTACTATAAAAAAGTATCAAGTAAAGTCATATTGCTTGTAATTAGATATGAAACCGTATTATTGGGTCAAATGGACAATTAATCAGCGTGCAATTAAGCCAAAGAATATTTCTAATTTGTATTGTTTTCTATATATGAAACAAGGGTTGGCACGAATGTGATTGAATGAGATTGGCTTTAAATGTTTTAAATCGAAAGCTTCTCAATTTAGGTTTACAAAAACAGGAAATTAATTTCATATTCAATGTATAGATAACGATGGGGCCATTACATTTTTGCCTTTCTCATTAAGTGCAAATAACGATGATGCTTTCTCGACTGCATGTTATGTCAACGCTGACATTTCTACGAAAAATTATTAAAACCAATTAAATTTTCTAAAAGACAGAAACGCTCTAATTTCAATTTAAAAGCAAATATTTTTGAACAAATAATTTTCCGCTATTGTTTTTATCTTTTCAATTGCTTTGTTTAATGGCTTATTTAAATTCTGTCTCCCCAGATTCTTCTTATACCTTGAAAAATATTTAAATTGTTTCATTTTCATTCACTGGCTACAATTAAATTATCCGTAGAATTATCATTGCTAATCCATGTAAGCTTTTCCGCATAGAATATAACTTTAATGTAGAGTCGAAATTTTAGCTTTAATCTCTTTTATATTTAAAGGCATCTCCGCGCCTTGACGTCATTTTACATACATTTTACAGTTAAGAGTGTTATGTTTAACGTTGCGCATAATCCCAAACATTGGCTTTTTTTCTATTCAGTTCAAAACATTTCTATTTAAGTAATTTATCACATGTACATGATATGAATTTACTGTCTGTCTATTATTTTAGTTCATTATATGAGTCTAAATGCGTGAAAATCATTTTTTTAATTCACTAATAAAGCACTTATTCAATCAAGTTACAGAAAAGATATTCCAATTATTCATCAATATTATTTTATATTTATTAACAGCGATGGTGTTTGGTCAAGGTCATATTGAAACATTTGATGGGTTACATCAACGTATGTGTGGTCATGGTGATTTCCTGTTGATGAATACTACGTTACCGGATACTAGTGTTGTCACGGTTCAAGGACGATTTTACGAAAACGTTTTCCCAAAAATTGTTGGTAAGCATATATGCTGCGCATGTACTGATTTTGTGTCATGGATGAATACCCCATATCCTTTGTTTTTCTATTATAGTATACTTACAAAATCAACACAGTGCTTTTTTTAGTTTCATTGTAATAGATCCAAATGGAATATTTTAGGCAAGCTTTCATTCAAAGTGTCAGCTTCAAATCTATGATATTTTAGGTAGAGAATCTTGCAACAAAAGCTTATCTTCATTATAGATGTGTGATTGTATGAACTGTGATAATTCATATTGTTCACAATGGAAACTTTTATCAAACTACTTAGTTTAAACATATTTCATTTGCTTAAATATGCAAAAAGGATGAGACACAAGTTAATCAAACTTATGAAGTCTTCTCCCATGAACAATTTATAACAATATATTTTTTTACAAAGCATGCATGCAAACAATACATTGTATATATTGGATATGTAAAAAGATGATGTGTGATGATGTGAATGGTTGTACACAATATACATGTATATGCACTTTAATGTGCTGTATTATACAATTAGAAACCTCTTTGGCTCTTAAATAAATTCATATACATTCTTTAAAATTCTTTCATTTTCATCATTAGTTAATGACGAATCACCAGAGGTTAAGATGTTCCAATTTAGTAGAGAGTTCTTTGGTAACCAGTTCAGATTATTAGATAGTTTGATTCTTATATTCGTATAATTAGGACATTCAAAAAAGAAGTGAAATGAATCTTCACGCTTAGCACCACAGCTACAAGACGGACCAAACTACTATATAGAGCCGACAATGTACAAATTGTGCAATATTAAAACACATTTATATAAGGTTTTACTGTATTATTTTCACCAAGGTAAATGAACCAGACACATTTGTGTACTAAGTGTTAAATTGTCCCTCTAGCATGCTTAATGTCATTCGATAAACAATAACAGCGAACAAAACTATAATTTTAGCTGTTTAAGAACAGTTTTACCAGATTCAATCCGTGTTGAGATTCTTTTAATATGATGTAACGCATAGTGTCCTGACCGAAGTACCCAAAGAAGTATAGGTTCCTTACCACGTTTTCCAGATAGTTCAGGGTAAAAATGGGACCATGAAAAACCGTTGTGCATAAATATATAATGTGAGGGTACATGTGGGATCAGTCTAACCACTCTTTAGAACTGCCAGAATTAAATGGCATAAGACCATTCTAAACAGTTCTGGAACAGTTCTTCCTTAAAACAGTTCTAACCTAAAAATGTTCGAGGGTAGTACAGTCCAAAAAGTATTTAAAAAATACCCTTATCATCGTAATCACGACCTTGACCAAAGTATGTTAGTCACATTAATTGCCAAAACTAACCAATTGTTGACACCGATATTGAAGTATTAAAAACCTTTAGAGAAGAACTAAAGATTGTAATCCATTCTATTTTTCTATTTTCATGGTAAACAAAAAATCTTCGATATATATGTTATACCAATTACCATATGTTTCTTTATATGAAGGTGAAAGAGGAAATACCTCCGTCATGTTAACCAATGTAGGCATTCGTGTTGTTCGTGGTAGTACTACAGAGACTGTAGAAATAAGACTAAAATTACCAACAGCAGATAGAAGTGAACGTTATCTTGATGTCCTTGTCAATCAGCAATATCATTTCTTTGATAATAAACCATCTTACTGGCAAGACTTTAACTGTGAGTATATGTTCAGTGCTATTAGAAACCTTGCATTTGTCAAATTATAAAAGGCCGTGTTGGAAACCTAATATTCAAATTATGTGCGAGCAGATCATCTTAACATATTAAGCTACTAAGCCTTAACGATGCTGTCAAACATAGGAGTTGCATTGTCAAAAAAGGGTTCATCTTTCTTTTGTGTTATGCCTTAATCTTGTGTGTATTGTTTTCGGGACCCTGAATACTGAATTATTCTTAAATGAAGTTGTTTCGACAAGATACATTTGTACTTCCAATATTCGTTATTGGCTATATATTTTAATTATCATTACTGTTAACTCCAAATCTTCTTCTAAATCTCTAGGACGACATGGAAGCTAAAACCTGTTACATATCAAAATCGATAACCTCAATGGGTATGTGAATACTTGTGCTGCATCCTTCTGTCTTCAAAATTCCAATTGTTATTAAGGATTTGTCATACCTCCATGACAAATATGTTGTTTCCCCCGCAGGGAAATCCCCATACCAGATCATGCTTGATTTGATATACTGACAACATATTTGTTACGTTTGAAGGAGGTTATTTTTCAACAGATAATCAACATTTAAAGGAGAACGAACTATGCCACTATTCTTGCCTACTTCTCTTGTTTTTTATGACACACTTCATAGAAAGAATAATGGAAAAAAAAACTGGGTGTTCTTCCCATTTTAGTATATAGAGTATGCCCTTTCACTGAATAGTTCCAGGCCGAATCTGCATATAGTATGTATATATATGCCCGTTGATACGATTGTGTTTCCAATGATGAATTTCTTGCATAGATGTTTGCTGCATTCAAGAAACCTTTGAATCAACGGATTCAAGTAGTACACGAGAAAGAATAACACTTTATAAATGGCGTGCTTCCGGAGCGCTTTTCTGGATTAACCTTCATCAGGAACGCTCAAATTCAAATAAGTGAAAGCCAAGGATAGATAAATACATAAAAGCATGAGGAGCTATTTTACTAAAAAGGTATAGTCAAATTCATTTTTACAAGGTCAGTATTGGTTTTAATACGGAAAAAAGAAATAATAAACAGTTTACTATACATCATGCCATTACCGAAGCATTCAATACAGAGCTGAGTATAACATCTCAGACTTACAATCCACAAACAGCGGTATCCATGCAGTGCTAGTAAACGAAAATAACATAAAATGTTGTAACAATCATTATATGTTAAAAGATCTGTCTTGTCTTCGCATGCGCTTTATGGTTCTAGTCCATGATTCAATGGTAATTTCCGTGGAAAATCAAAATGAGTGCTGTGTGACATCATGAAAAGAACGCTAATACGTAATTTATTTAACAAAAGGGTATATATCCTTCCTAGCCATTGCTTTAACTATGATTTATTGTAATATTTTTCAATTAAACCGAATTTGAAATTTAAGCTAGAAATAGGGGCTATTTTAGGGTCTAATCGAACCGACTCCTTTCCCGAATATCGTTAATGTCTTGATCATACTATCGTAAATCATTTCTTAAAATTAATAATTTAAGTAGAGAATTACTGAACTTGTGAAAAGATGAAATACTAAACATTGTCTTTTGCATCAGAATACCTATTGAATATGCATCATTATATTTTAGACTGCTGGTCATTATATTACCATTCAAATTTTTAGCTTTCATGGTGGTGAACACGGATGAGACAGGTATGGAATCAAACTTCACTGTTCATCTAAAGGATGGACTAGCTATTCAAGTAGCTGATTGTGACCGGACATTATGTGTTGTAGTTATAGCACCACCTTCACTTCAGGTAAATTCAACGGATTTGTCAAAGTAACATTTTAAAATGTAAATAGAAAAATAGAACATATTGATTTCTACTACATTTAAAACGTAAAATTTGACTCTGAGAGGTCTTTGTTATTGCACATTTTATTATTTCGTGTAAAAATATTAAAAAGTGTTCTTTTAAGTAACCCAAACACCAACCCATGGATCGAATATTTTTGTCTACAAAAAAAGACCCCCAAACGATGACTGATTCTATCACAGAGTAAACATAAAAATATAATTGTATACAAATATAAAATGTGGAAAATTAAAAACAAATAAAACACAACACAACACAGCTGGAACTAACAGTTCATGCCTTGGTCTTGTCAGTTTTTTTCGACTTATGAGTTTTAATGTCCCTATGATATTTTTTGCCTCTCTTTTAGTCCTTGGATACAGTAACAAGTGGAATAATGAAAAGCACATTGAACCGATAGGAAGACCAATTTTGAAAACTTACGTCTGGTTTTTTTTTTTGTATAACATCCAGATATGTGATATAATTGCAGGGAAAAGTACAAGGTCTTCTAGGAAACTTTAATGGAAATGCTACAGATGACCTACTTAATGTAAATTATACAGTTACTGCACAGATTGATAATAACTCATTGGATGATTTAACGCTTTATCAGATGTTCAAATATCCATGTAAGTGTCCAGTAAATATAAATAAGAAGATGTGATATGAGTGCCAATGAGACAACTATCCACCCAAGTCACAATGTGTAAAAAGTTAACATGCCTAGTTTCATTTTTCCTTACTCCTATTCGATGTTTAACTTCTTCAATTAATATGGCGATTCAAAATAAAAAAAAGAACTGCATATAGGCAGCGTGATATGTCACTGATACAAGTAGAAACTATGTTAAGAAGAATAATAAAAACACAACATTCGAAAGAGACTAAGGGATGAACAATTTCTAAGCTGAGACCTGTATTTAGATATGTCAGTTGTATTTATTAATTATGTTGTTGCGTATCTTTATTTTTACGGATTAGCTCATATATATCGTTTATAGGGGCAGCACAAAAGAAAGACAGTGTATTACCAATGTACGTCGATCCAAGTTATGACCCACCAATTTGTTCAGTGAAACAACCAAAGAGACTAGCACTACAAGAATGTAACAATAATAAGCCGTGTATGTTTGACTATAAAGCTACTGGTGACAAGGAAATAGCAATGAAAACTAAATCAAAGTCTATGAGAATAAATGAGCTTCGACGTTTTCTAACTCCAGGTAAATATTCCCTCTTTCATTTTTACTTGTATTAAAGAATAGTCGGACTGATAGTTTGAATAGCAACACCTGAGTTGGTTTGATTGCAAAACAGTTATCATATGTAAATTTGTGATTTTTAATCATATTCAAATGATATCTGTTATTTTTTTTTATTTTTATCTAATTTATTGAATAACCAAATATATATACGTCATTTGTCATGGTTCATGTAGATAATAAAATAAAGTGTGAATACCCCGTTTATAATTACAAATAACAATTATTATAATACTTTATTTTGGTGGACCCTTTTTTTTATATATTATCGCCAGCAATGCTCAAAACCAAAGAGCTTATGATCAAGCGCGTAAACACAATGAAGGAGACTTAAACACAATCAGAATTCCCCTTTACTAGGAATATGAACAGGATTGAACACTTTTTTTAAATGTTGTCGTGATACATCTGATCCCTATTTGTCCGCAATAACTGGATATCATAGACGTTCTATTATAATGTTTACGTCAGAATACAAAGCAGTCAAAGTGAGTTCAACTACAACAACTTTTTTGTTTGCGTCTTTGTTCGATTTATGTGTATGCTGTTTGAACTTGTTTAGTCAGTTGTATCGCATGTCTGTGTCACACATTTTTGACTGCTGTATCCCAATTATTGTCACATTAACCTTTTATGTCTGTTTGGGTGGCGCACTCATTTTTGTCAATTTAACTATAAACAACCGTCATAGAAGTGGAATGTTTAGCTAGTTAGTTAGTTTAAGACCAGGTTTCCCTTACCATTTTCTCGGCAAATGCCAGTTCCAAGTCAGGAATGTAAGAGTTGTTTTCAATTTATTTCGTTTGGTTGATAAAGTCTAATGTTTGATTTTTAATTAATTGATGTCAATTAAAATATATATTGTAAGTGTTCAGCTACATTTTGAATATTTGTAAATTGTAGTTAGGACCTGTGGACTACTAGATATTCCACGAGGTGTTAAGAGTGACACGAATTATAAACTCGGACAGACAGTTACTATAAAGAGTTGTAGAGTAGGAAACTTACAGGGTGATGACAAAACATACAGATGTTCAGCAACCAGTGAGACTTCTCAGACATGGTCTCCGTCGGTTAATGCCAAATGTTCTGGTAATTATTAATTATTCTACTATATTACAAACAATATATATCTGAGGTGGTGACACTAATACCTGGTATCAGTTTATCTTTATGAGGAAAGAAATATGCCAAAAAGACTGTTAGATCATGAAATTTGTCTTTACAACAATATTAAAAAGTTGCCAATCACCGTTAGATTGTGTGGAAAATATTACCTTTTAAGTTTATGTAAATATCACAAAAGAGAGAAAAGTTCAGGTCCCAAGAAATTGCCAAACTGCGTTTTGCCGAGTTGCTCAATATCGTTACATCCGACCGAGACAAGTTCTAATGACAGTGAAGGCACTGCCAAACACTTATTGTTGAAATATCTTTGTAGCCAGTAGTTGCGCTGTATATCAATATCCACATAATATGTTTATTGTAGTTTTAACTTTAGCTTAGATAATTATGAAGCCAAATTGTGGGCTCAATGACCATCCTCCTTTAAAAATATATGGACAGTCTTTAATTGCATTACAGATACAGTTGAAACAGCCGATACTGGTATGATAATTGGAATTGTTGTTGCTGTCGCTGCTGTAATTGTTATTCTCATAGTTGTTGTTATTATTATCAAAAAGTTTGGTAGAACTAGAGAGTAAGTTCACTTTTCATTTTGTTACTCAAGAATATCGTATATTGATTTATCTGCGGACGTTAAATTAATTTGCAGTCGAAGCTATTTTTATCTTTTCTCGGGTTCCTGTTGTGTTGATTATCGTGTATGTGTAATGTGATTTTTCCAGTAGACACCTTAAAATTCGTCTTCAATGGTCATGTAATGATTATATATATCTTTATTTAGCCTCCTTTAGGCGAGATAGTGATATAAATAAAATATTAATAAAATGTTTGAACAGATGAAAAAAAACATTTTAAACGTGTTTCACATTGCAACTTAGAGGAGAGAACATGTTTTGAAAAATTTGTAAACGTAGGTGACGCATAAACATTGAAACGTTCTGCTCAAAGTGTAGTTCTAATTCGGTTTCGCACGACAGAAAAAGCTAATTATAAGGAACCAGGAAAAGCACTAAAGTGGTCGGGTTTATACATAGTAACAACACCAGAATTCATCGCGAATGTCGGTTAAGTAGTCACACGAAGAGTTTGCATGAATACACGTGTCGGTGAAAATATACAATATTTATCACATAGATTATTATAGGTGTTCGTATTGTGAACTAAACAACACAGGGATTCTATGTAATTTGTATGGGTTTTTTTTGTTTGGTTTTTTTTTTTACATTTTTTTTTATGATTCTTTATTTTGTATTTCTTCATCTCATACAATAATTATATGCATATTTTCTTTTAAAGAAGGATATAATACATGTTTTATAATTATCACCTGTCAGTGTCAGCGCTTATATAATATTAACACACAAAAAAAACAAAGAAAAAAACATTAATTGATATGTTGTCTTCCTCGAATGCCAACATTTTATATGTTACCTATTCCTTGAATGCCAACAAAAATAATTCAATATTTGTTTATATAATAACAATAGGTGTTTTTATAAGTTTTTAACTGTTAAAAATGATTAGTGAACTTGATAGAAATGCAACATTTTATCAGTTTTTGCTAAGAAAAAATAGAAGACTTTAGGGTTAAAATCATTATGAATTTTAAAGAAATAAAGAAAACTAAAACATTTTTATTACTTTTTATTAAAAAAAAAGATACATTTGGAAATGGAATGTTTATTAACATCAGACATATTAGAAATATTAAAGAAATTTTAATTAAATACAATTATTTCAAATTGAAAAAAGGATATTAGAGATTTATTAAATTCCATATCATTTTAAATATTATATAGTTAATATGAACTATATGAAGTTTTCAATTGAACAATTAATTAAACTTTAAAAAAACCTTGCATCAGAAATAAGTAAATTTGATAACTTCCAAGCTGGAAACACTACAAAGTTTCAAGAAAATCCTTAAAATAGGGTAACAAAAATTCCGATGAGTTGCGAACATAATAAACACCTAAACAATATTATTTTATGAATCACTTACAATAAAAATAGATGTGATATCATAACCTGGGACTATTATACTAACATAGTATAATAGTCCCAGTCATAACCAAGAAAAATATCCTGAACAAACTGTATAAAATAAAACATAGTAATCTAACATGAGATACAAAGTTTCAAGAAATTCCATCATGTAATATTGGAGGATATTACAGCACACACAACTATAGAAATATCGAAAAAAAGCTTCAAAGACCAAAGAGGCTATTGTAGAATTTGTGAAAACTGGAATCCCTGACAATATGCACATGTTGACTTTGTGATGCAACACTTTTCAAAGTTTCATTTTAAGAGAATTCATATTTGTTCAAGCAGTAACAGCAAAAAATGATTTTCAACAACTTGACAAACATGAATTATATTTAACTACCTGCAATTTACATATCTGTTTAATTATTAGTATGATTGTTTTGATAAGCATGAACTTTTGTTGTGATAACTACTTATACCTATTCCTCGAACGCCAACATAATTTTACAGGTAAATTTTCGGTAGATCAAAGGATGTTGGCATTCAAGGAATAAACCATTGATATTAATAGAATAGATTATTATTGACGCAACATACTTGTACTAATAAAAACATATAGTGACATGTTTTGTTGTTATTGTCTCTACAAATGTAGAAATATACATTATTGTTTACATAAATATATATTTCAATCAAAGACTGGAAATCCTATCAAAAATTATCTAAACTCCAACTATCATAACATAGTAACACATATTTAAGTCTTACATACATATATATGTATAGGAGGCACACTAACCACTGTCCATATGTGATGTACAGCCAGTTGTGTTATACATTTATGTTACAGTTTTGTATGAGTTATCTTTCTTGTATCATAAAATTAATTGTTTAAATGTTTACGCAAATACGGAAATTCTAATGCAACAGTCCATGCAGGATGAGGATGGAATATGTTATGTATCTTCTAAAATACATTGAAGTCACTGTCAACACGCATGCGTTGCTGCCTTTCACTTGGTTCATAATTAAAAATAGAGATGTAAACTATTCGCTTCCATATTCTGCTAGACATAAACTGTGTTAAACAGTCTAATAAGTTGTATATGGATATAGATTTGCGGATATACGTCCGATCCGGATGGGGACGTAAAATCCTATGCAGAGAGAGTTCAACGCCCCTGTATGTTTAAAACCTTTCAACAACTTATTGATTGATGTTCTATTGCAAAGCTACTTTTCTGTCCCTATCCAACACCCTCATTGTCCAGTGGCATTCCAAATTAGCCGCCCTTCCTCCCGGGTGACCCCTATTGTAGGAGTTAGTTGACCGTTATGGAATATCTGTTTCAAAAATGACGACGGATATGTTCCATTTGTCGTAACAACAATCCCGTCCTCTTACATTTCCTCGAATATGACCTACCGAATTAGACTTATCATCGGGGTTTCACTTACATGAGCACCATGACGGATGCCAAATGTGGAGCAGAATCTTCTTTCCCTCCCGGAGCACCTGAGAACACCCCCAGTTTTTGGTTGAGTTAGTGTTGCTAAGTCTTTAGTTCTCTTTGTTATGTTTTGTAGACTGCTGTTTGTCTTTCCGTCTTTGTTTTTGTTTTTGCCATGACATTGTCAGTTTGTTTTCAACTTATGAGCTTGAATATCCCTTTGGTATCTTTTGCCTCTCTTCTACCTATTATATTAATTGTGTAAATTGTTTTCGTCCGACCATATATGAAATATTTGCCACTGAACGTGAAGCAAACAAAAAATCACTCAATTTTTACAAATTTTATCTGATTTTGTAAAATGTCTTTTGCGTTTGGAATCATCTAAAATTGATTGTGCTGAAGTGTTTGTAAGAGCTGAGCTTGAGCACCTACCAGAAAATCCTTTCCAAATGAGTGTGCTTCATTATTCATTAAAGTATTGAATCTTTTAATAATGATCCTCTGGAAGTGGTTGTAAGAGTATTATTTCAACAACTACCAGAACCTTCTTTCCGAATTCCATATGTGTTTGCTTCATTATAAGTTCAAGTATAGAATTTATTTTCTAAGTGAATCTATGAACAATTGAAAGCTCATGTCCCACTACACTCATTAATAGGGAATTAAAAATAGGACATTATGAAAACTTTTTAAGAAAAGCATGTATTTGTATTTATAGTTCCAAAATCTTAAACTTTTAAATAGATTGCAATGTATGAATCCCTTTCTGCAATGGATACACGTAACATGTTATATTCTATAAACTGAAATGTCTAGTTTGAAAAAAATGTGTGCGTCTTTTTTAACGTATTTAAAATATGTTTCTCTTTAGTTATGATTCCAGTAAAGGAAAATATGGATCGCCTTCTAACCCGGTTACAGATGGAAACGAGGAGTTTAGTGCAAATTACAGGCGATCACATAAACCAACTAAATTACCTACTGATGAGGGAGAGAAGTAAACGAGCTAGTCAGGAATACAGTTTAAATTAACATAGTAACAGTCATTATGTGTATGGTTTGCTAAGGTTTAAAGTTGATTGAATGGAAGTGAAACAATAATATACTGTAAACAGATTTGATGAAGGCATGTCTCTAAATGTTAGATTGTATGATAGACGACGGAAATTGTTTGTTTTCAGAATTGAGGTGAAAATATTGAAGTTATTCTTTAACAAAAATTACTGTGTCTGCATGTGTCAAATAGGCCTTCATTGGAAGTATTAAATATCGTATGATACTATGGAATGTATTGAATCAGAACTCTCAGGGACAAAATGCAATCATTAAATTTAAGCATGATTAACAGTTATCATAGACAATATCGCAATATTATTGTAAATATCCATTATGTATCGTTGTATCAAGGGTAACATGACTGTATTCTTAAGAACACTTAAATTGCATTAGAACTTTAATACTAGTATTTTAATAAATCTTTTATTATCGTTCGGAAAATTAGAAAAACTAAGCTGAATATACATGACTTGTTGATTTATTGTTTGAAATCGCTTTTGATAACAAAGTTTTTACTTTCGTGTCCTTTTATCGTTAAATGATTTATACGTGATACTATTAACATAGCTTTATCTCATGTCATACTTTGAGTATCTCTGAATATTTTAAATACATTTTACTTGTAAATGTCTACATGCATTTCATTTTTGTTTATTTATTACAAATTAAGCACTAAATCTATATTTTTTTTATACTTAGATCAGATACGCAAATATTTTACAGTTATTTTGCCGTACCTTTTTATTGCAAAAATGGGAACGAGATGAGTGTTTTCTAACTAAATGACATGTATGTTTATGTGCATTAGATAGAATTCTAGAGCTTTTCAAAACTAAATTATCGTTTTAGGTAAGAATCTTATAAGCCTTAATATATAATAGGTTTCATAGTAATACTATTATCGAGAAAGGCAGCATTAGTACTGAATTTGATAAACATCATCTCTATGTTGGTCATGCATTTAATGTTATATGTCATGGCATCAATAATTCATTGATTAAAATATGTATAACACTGTTGTTTATTTTAACTATGCAATTCTTGCAACCATTCACAATTTTCTTGCTTAAACATCATTTTTACAGTTCAATAGTAATTTACCTTGATCAAATTTATTTCAATTTTGTAATATGGCTTTAAATATTTTATACATTTTTTTTTACATGTAAAAGCAATTTCATGTAACCATACTAGTATTTATATGATGCAGTTTTACCTGTTGCAATCTTGTAATAGATTAAGGCATCCGTCTTATGATGATGTTCAAATCTTATAAATCGAGTAAGAAGGCAAAGCAAGGTAACAAACAATACCTCAGGGATTCGTACAAGAGGGATCATTTAGTGTCAGGATTCGTACAAGAGGGAGCATTTAGTAGAATTTGATGCGACTGTTATACAAGTGAGAGGTTTAGCTAGCTATAAAACCAGGTTCAATCCACCATTTTCTACATAAGGAAATGCCTGAACCAGGTCAAGAATATGACAGTTGTGATCCATTCGTTTGATGTGTTTGAGCTTTTCATTTTGCCATTTGATTGGGGACTTTCCTTTTTGAATTTTCCTCGGAGTTCAGTATTTTTGTGATTTTACTTTTTAGTGCCATCTTATATGACATAAAAATGTAAATAAGGGCCTCATATACATTATTCTCAACTCCCTCTATAAATATTTTTAAAAATATTTGCCAGGTATCGAAAGTATACATTCCAATACTAATTAAGATGAAAAATATAATTTCCTGTGTGCTGATTGTTTTCGGTAACATTTCCACTGTGCTGATTGTTTTCGGTAACATTTCCTGTGTGCTGATTGTTCTCGTTAATATTTCCTCTGTGCTGATTGTTTTCGGTAAAATTTCCTGTGTGCTGATTGTTTTCGGTAACATTTCCTCTGTGCTGATGGTTTTTGGTAACATTTCCTGTGTGCTGATTGTTTTCGGTAACATTTCCTGTGTGCTGATTGTTTTCGGTAACATTTCCTGTGTGCTGATTGTTTTCGGTAACATTTCCTGTGTGCTGATTGTTTTCGGTAACATTTCCTCTGTGCTGATTGTTTTCAGTAACATTTCCTGTGTGCTGATTGTTTTCGGTAACATTTCCTGTGTGCTGATTGTTTTCGGTAACATTTCCTGTGTGCTGATTGTTTTCGGTAACATTTCCTGTGTGCTGATTGTTTTCGGTAACATTTCTTGTGTGCTGATTGTTTTCGGTAACATTTCCTCTGTGCTGATTGTTTAACATTTCCTCTGTGCTGATTGTTTTCGGTAACATTTCCTGAGTGCTGATTGTTTTCGGTAACATTTCCACTGTGCTGATTGTTTCCGGTAACATTTCCTGTGTGCTGATTGTTTTCGGTAACATTTCCTGTGTGCTGATTGTTACCGGTAACATTTCCTGTGTGCTGATTGTTTCCGGTAACATTTCCTGTGATTGTTTTCGGTAACATTTCCTCTGTGCTGATGGTTTTCAGTAACATTTCCTGTGTGCTGATTGTTTCCGGTAACATTTCCTGTGATTGTTTTCAGTAACATTTCCTCTGTGCTGATTATTTTCGCAAAACATGTTCATCAGGTCAAGATCTATCTGCCCTGAAATTTTCATACGCATCAGACAACCTGTTGTTGGGTTGCTGCCCCTGAATTGGTAATTTTAAGGAAATTTTGCAGTTTTTGGTTATTATCTTGAATATTATAATAGATAGAGATAAATTGTAAACAGCAAAATTGTTCAGCAAAGTAAGATCTACAAATAAATTAACATAACTAAAATTGTCAATTGACACCGTAAGGAGTTATTGCCCTTTAAGGTCAATTTTTCACAATTTTTTGTAAATTTTTGTAATCTTTTACAAAAATCTTCTCCTCTGAAACTACTGGGCCAAACTAAACTAAACTTGGCCTTAGTTATCTTTGGGTATCTAGTTTAAAAATTGTATCCGATGACCCCACCAATTAACCAAAATGGCCGCCATGGCTAAAAATAGAACATAGGGGTTTACTATAGAAGTCTATGGGAAAATTGTAAAAAAACAATTTCAAATGGTCACAACTTGAAAACTAATTTAAATTTCAGTAACTATTGTAAGACTACAATTGGATGACCTGCTTTTAATTTAACTACTGGGCCAAATTAAACCAAACTTGGTCTCAATCATTATATCGTGTATCTAATACTATTTATTATGATTTTAACCTTATTTTACATGATTTCCAAAACCACAGTAGATACAGGTGAGCGACACAGGCTCTTAAGAGCCTCTAGTTAAAGTGTTACATATATATTTCATATTTAATGAACTTCATAATGACAACACGAACTTCGGCATAATGTCCGGGGTATGTCACAAAAATAGTATGAATCAGTCTTCAAGCAACGTTAGCAACAGCAGCAGTTGCTTTATATATTACGCGTATAGTAAAACAGAGTTACTTCTCTTTTCCCCACTTTATATTTAGTCTGATATTTAATAAAACAATGTATGTTAAACAACAATCAGCTATACTTGATGTCACAAATGAGGAACTGAGAGCGGCATTGATATTACTAGAATTAAAAAGAATTCGTTATCATCGTGGGAAAGGGTCAATCTAATTGTAAGGGTTTCCGTGACACGTTAGAAGAGTGGACTTCAACATTGAACCATTTATCTATAGCTCTATAGCCAAAAACAACTATATATCACGGCAATCATGACCAGAAACTCAAAACCTGGAATATCTTATCCAATTGGAGATGTTCCTGTAATGTTGCTACATAAAATGGGAAAATTAAAAGTCATCTGATTTGTATAGATGTAAATTCAATATGAAGCAGATTTACTTGTTTCTGTGGTATCTATTATTTCAAGTCCAATGGAAAGATATTAAGATCAACACATATATTAAAACTTTGAATTATTCAATTCGAGGACATCATCTGTATAGCAGAATCGTCCTGAACATGTATGAAATATTTGCCACTGGACGTTAAGCAACCAACAATCAATATGTATTGCAGAAAGTGTAGAGGTAGAGACCTGTATAGAATATGTCTCGTAAAAGTCATAAAATGACGAGAGAAAGACATCATTTATACTTAACAAAAGATGACGAGAGAAAGACATCATTTATACTTAACAAAAGATGACGAGAGAAAGACATCATTTATACTTAACAAAAGATGACGAGAGAAAGACATCATTTATACTTAAGAAAAGATGATGAGAGAAAGACATCATTAAACAAAAGAAACAAGACAAAAAATTGACAACAGTGCATAAAACACTACACACAAATCTACAGACTGATGAACGTGAACCACAACACAATAGCATCAGCTATTACGTTATGACAATGACCACTGATATGTCGAATTCTGTGATTTAATAAGCAGCAAAGTGGACAGTTACCTTCTAAAAAGACTCGTACCCTTAATTTAATGGGTTAAGACGAGGTATAACGCAGATCTATATATTTCAGTGGTGTCACTTATTTTAAGTCCAAGTAATAAATACTATGAACATACACATCAGACTTTAAATAATCCAGTGAATAGACTTAATTTAAACAAACTATGGAACTTAGAGCTAGTCTTATTTATTTATTCTTCTGAAAAGGTCATGTCTTACATCTGTTTTATTGTAAGAATGAAATAGTCGGAGAGAAGACATGATTCAGTTTTTCTGAAGTAGTTTTTACATACTCTATCAGGTGGCGTCGAGGCAAAAAGTGTGAGAAGCCAAATGTATAACACTTGTGTTGATTCAAACTGCAAATTTAAAAAATTTTAAAATGTAAATTGCAAATGAATGTAAAAATTTAAAGTCATCATTTTTTCCGATATTTTGTTTTATGGGCTTTTATCCGTTTTTGAAGTATGAGAAAGCTTAATTGAAAGATGATTATGCCTTCATTTCTTTTAAAATGAATAATATTGTTGTACTAGCACAATGTTCGCATTTTTATAACAAAAAGTAGAAAGTCAGAAAACACGAGACTTTTATGCCAATTTCTACGAAATTTCTACCGTCTTTTTACTTAAAACAAACGCAATTTGCAAGACATACTCGCTAAAACGATTGTAAGGTTAACAACTATTCATCCAAATATGCATAAAGTCTCCAAATGATAAATTATGTAACACAGCATGACTTAAGTGGCGCCTTTAAACCTGTTTAACCCTGCCACAATCTTTATGTGCCTGTTCCAAGTCAGGAGCCTGTATGTATTTTTGTGGTTGTCTTTGGTTCATGTCTGTCATGTTTGTTTTTCAAATTTGTTTCGTTATAAATTTGGCCGTTAGTTTTCTCATTTGAATTGTTTCATATTTTTCAACTAGGGGCCTTTTAAAGCCGACTATACAGTATGGGTTTTTTTCATTGTTGAAGGCCGTACGGTTGGCTTTAATTGCTTACATCCACTTCATTTGAACTGTGGTGAATGGTTGTCTCATTGGCAATCATACCACATCTCCTTATTTTTATATTCTTAAAATAGTTTGAAATTATAAATGATTTAGTATTACTTATTGATAATGATGTGTTTTATACTAAGATTGCAATATTCAATCATTCTGGTGTACTTTCGAAATTACTTACATCTTCTGTATTGTTTTACTATCGAAACACTCAACTTCATTTAACGTAAAAAGTTAATTCCTTCTCGCGCTTTACATCTCTAAGTATTATGCAACACTGTTTGAAACGTTCAATTTAACTGGATAAGTTCCAAGGCATCAATTCAACGACTGTTGCTCCTGTGTGTGCAGATATCATATGACAAATTTTATAATGAATACGTATTAAAAGTGGTTTTTTTCAGTAACTTTGAAATGAGATACAATATGGAAACAGTATTGCATTTGCGGGCATCAAGTATGTTTTGTAGTACAAAATGTCAATGTACTACAAAATCGCTTTTGAAAAACAATATTTATTTTTGCGAGCATCAATGTGGTTTTATAGTTCGAAATGTCTGTTTACTGCCAAACCGATTTTCAAATACAATATTTAATTTTTTATTGTATGTTTGCAAAATTGC